TTTTTTTTTTTCTCACGGCTCCATGTCTCATAGATAGAAAAGTCGGGAAGAAGTAAAGAAGAGCTAAAGATAGTCTAAGCGTATCAATCAGATGAGTCATGATCGGTACGGTAAGGATCGGGGAACAACGGTAAATCCGATCCATGACGACCCCAGCGGGATCTGATAAGCGGCCAAAATTTCGCCATCGCTCTTCCTGATTGTCCCACATCCTCTTCTATAGCATATCTTTACCCTCAATCAGATCCACTCAACCGTGACTGACTTCCTTCTTAACACACTCAGCGGGTCGCTATCTAGTTTACTCTCTTGCATTCTCAATAATCTCTATTGATCACCTCCGGCAGCGTCCAGAGCGGCCCATCTACTATATACTTACCCCTCATATCCCACCAAAACCACCACAAAATGTCCTCCCTCGTCGAAGTCACATCCGAAGCCGACTTCGCCTCCGGCCTAGCCAACCTTCCCCCCTCTTCCCTTCTCGTTCTCTACTTCCACGCTCCTTGGGCCGCCCCCTGCACTCAAATGCGAGCCGTGCTCTCCGCCCTCGCCTCCCAATACCCAGTGACCACCCCCCCAGCCATCTCCTTCGTCAGCGTCAACGCCGAAGAACTCCCCGACATCTCCGAAGCCTACAACGTCACCGCCGTCCCCTTCGTCGTCCTCATCCGCGACAACCAGACCCTCGAATCCATCAGCGGCTCTGAAGCCATCCGCGTCCGCGACGCCGTCGAGCGCCACGCCGGCGCTGCCGCACCAACCGCCTCCTCCACAACCGACCACCCCTCCAAGCCCACCATCCCGCCTGTCCTCTCGACCGTGCCTCGTGAAAGCGGCCCCGCGACGGCCACCCAGGCCCCCGTGAATGGCGCCACCGTGACGGCTGAGGAGAGCCGCGAGGCGCTGTTCTCCCGTCTGGCGGAGCTCGTCAAGGCTGCGCCTGTCATGCTCTTCATGAAGGGCACGCCCAGTTCGCCGCAGTGTGGCTTCAGTCGTCAGCTGGTTGGCATCCTGCGCGAGGGGAGCGTCAAGTACGGTTTCTTCAACATCCTGGCCGATGAGGACGTACGACAGGGTTTGAAGGAGTTTGCTGAGTGGCCGACTTTCCCCCAGCTGTGGATGAATGGGGAGTTGGTGGGTGGATTGGATATTGTAAGCTTTTTTTTTCATTCTTGCCTCCCTTTCATTCATACATTGAATAGGACTAACTGATGGTCATAGGTCCGCGAAGAGCTCAACAACGACCCCGACTTCTTCCGGGAATTCTCGGTCAACAAGGCCCCCGCCGCTGCGTGAGTGCCTCGGCGCTGTCTACGTGATCGTCAAGTCGATCGGTCTACTTTACTACTATGTACATAGCGAGATGTCATCTAATCCGTTTCTTATTTCATGCACTGGCCTCTAACATCTGTGTTCATTGGGTGGATATTGTCAAACTTTCACTTCAAGGGTTGCGCTAGAGGAGTTATGCAAATAAACTGACCAGAAGAAAAAAAAAAAATCATAAATCATAATAATGAAAAAAAAATAAAATACATAATTCGAACATGCAGCTACCATCTCCATTACCCACAGACGACACTGCAAATAGCACCATTGTCTACCCGGATACCCACCTACCTAGTCCATTAGAACCGACGAAGGCAGTAGGTACCTATCTAGATAGACAACTCCCACCGACCAACTAAACTCCATACATCTTCTCCCCCTCCTCCTCCTCCTCCTCCTCCTCAATCCACAATATACGGCCTAGCTGTGAGTTCCGCACGCTCACGCTGCAAAGCAAGTCCCACTCCGGTTCGTGCTCCTTCTCTCAATTGGAACTCGAATCCCTTAGAAGAGCGCATGTCACTATCGACCCTGGAGTACATATATGCGAGATGAAGGTAGCTTAACCCCCGCTAAAGACGTACTGTATGTACAACGCGACCCAACCAGTGACGAAGGGGCTGATCTGATCGTCAGTCTTCACATAACAGAATGTATCATTCTGGAGGCTGAGACTGGTTGGTGCCTACCGCGTACTGGGTAGGAGACTAGGGTCGTTTACAGAAAGCATACACTTGAGTAGAGTCGGTCAGGAGGGAGGGAGGGAGGGAGGTAATAGTGTCTTCGTGGAGGCAGCACGGGGCATGCTAGAGTGGAGCTACCTACCTATCTATCTATCTATCTATCTATCTATCTATCACCGGTGTGACATGTACTCTCTGAAGGGAAAGATAATGGGGATATATGAAGGTAAAAGAAGTAAAAAAAAAAAATTATTAAGAATAAACCCGCTCAGAAGCTCCAAATTTTCAACATTTACAAGACAAGTACAGTACAAGACAAAGTACCATTTACAGACAAGAACTATTTACAGGCAATGACTTCTAAGATATCGTTGACCACATCGCTATAAACACATGGTATATCTTCCTCTTTTTACATGACTAAAACCGAGATGGCTGCAAAATAAGATGACAGCGCGAGCTAATGAGCTCAAACTGGCCAATCAAGCCCAGTCCGCCGAATACTTCCGTCTCATAACGGCAAACCGAGAGCGCAGGTCGTCTTCGTCGACATAGGCGCCGGCCAGCCAGCGCTGGCCGGTAGCGGTGTTGAACTGGCGGCGGGCGTGGACGATGCGGCGGTTCTCGAAGATGACGCACTCGCCCGGGTTGAGCTTCAGCTCGAAGATGTTACTCTCCTTCTGGAGCAGGTCAGCGAAGACCTTCAGGGCGGCCATGCCGGCGTCCAGGGCTCCGGGACGGCGCAGCGGTTGGCTGGTGAGCAAGGAGCCCTGGAAGGGCGGCGAGTAGTTGACGTGGACGACGGGTCCGCCCGGGTAGGCCGTCTCGAAGACCCGGCGGTAGTTGCCGTAGACGTGGTTCTCGTGGTTGTACTCGTAACTCAGGAAGAGGTTGGTCAGGACCTTGAACTCCTCGGGGTGGCGCGAGCGCATGTACTCGGCGACGCAGAAGGCGTCTGCGAAGAGCGACTCGCCGCCGTCGCACGAGTTCTGCAGGCAGTGCAGCAGCTGGTACCCCGGGACCTCGTTCATGTACATCAGGTCCATGTGGAAGCCGAGGAAGCCGTTGGTGTAGGCGATGTTGGCGGCGTTGGGCACGGTGCGCACGTCGAAGGTGGAGCCGTAGAAGGTGTTGCGCAGGGGGCCCATGCGCGTGGCGATGCGCTCGACCATTTCGCGCGAGTCCGGGATGCCCTTGACGAAGATCAGGCCCTGCGACGCGAGCTGGCGCATGGCGACGCTGAATTTCGGCTCGTCGTTCATGTACTTGTTGAATGAGACCCAGTGTTGGCGCTTCTCCATGACTGCCTTGTCCCAGAGCTGCCGCCGTCTTCCCAGCCCGCTCGTGCTGTGGAGGTCGTTGGGGTGCGCCTCGGTCAGTTCCCGCCAGGTATACCGGGAGGTGTGCGATTCGTCGAACCCGGGGAGGTCGTTGATCCACTTCACCTCGAGCACCCGGCCGTTCCACTTGATCTCCCGCGGTTGAATGGAGGGCGAGATGTCACTGGTGCGATGGTTGCGCTGCTTGGAGTGTGGATCGACGCATTGTGGGCATTTACAGACATCGCGCAGGAGACGATGCATGAGCTTTCTGGGCCCCTCACTGGGGTGGGTGATATAGAGAGCATCCTCATCCATCATGGCCGCTGCCGGTCCTTGAGCTTTAGCCAGGTTGTCTGATGCCCCGAGGTCGACGACCATTTTCGGCTTTCGAGGCTGCGCCGAGGGCCCGTTAGACGCGTGGGGTCGATCATTGTTGACAGCCGGATCGTTTTCCGCCGGTTGGGAGTACGCACGATACGCCCCACGAGACAGGAGGCTGGAAGGGGCAGACACTGTCCGAGGAACAGCCAGCCGACAGGGACGGAGGACGGACCTCAACAAGCAGACCATGGTGAAGAGGGTGATGTGGGAGAATAGAATCAAACGGAGCGGGGGAAAGGAATATCGTGGAGAAACATGTGACCAGGCCCGGGATACCTCAGGCGATCCACCAGATCCGACCTAGCGCCATGCCGCTTTATCATCCCGTTCAGGACTAGTCCCGATTAAGAGACCGGGAATAATAACTCCAACTCATATCATATCCAACCTGTTCTCTATCTCATTACTTCATAATTAATAATAGGAATCAATATTCCACAAGACTAGCAAGACTAGAGACTGGGATAAGAAATTCAACAACCTCAACGTCCGAGTTCAAATTATCCTCAATTCTTTCTCTCATCTCATTGTCTATATACCTACCAAACTACAACGACCAATCTCAACCCGACAATCCCCGATCTTCATTTATCACATGCATGTCTGCCGGGGGCGAACACCTCAAGGATGAGGTAGACTTCACCCTCACGACCACTATCATCCTCACCAACTAACTAACAACTGAACAGGGCACACCGCGCCAGGTCGTCCTGGCCGGTGGGATCGCCGGGCTGGTATCGCGGTATGTTGCTTGTATATCTGGCCGCTTCCTCCCCTCCTCAACTCGAACCTCCATCCCCAAACAGTCACAATCAATCATGAAATCAACAAAAAACTAACCAATGGAATAGATTCTGTATCGCCCCCCTCGACGTCGTCAAAATCCGCCTCCAGCTCCAAATCCACTCCCTCTCCGACCCAGCCTCCCACCACAACATCCAAGGACCAGTCTACAAGGGCACTTTCTCCACCCTGAGATCCATCCTCAAACATGAAGGGATAACCGTACTTCTCCCTCTCCCTCCTTCCCCAACCCAACCCAACCCAACTCATCTAACCAATATTTCAAAACAGGCCCTCTGGAAAGGCAACATCCCCGCCGAACTAATGTACATAACCTACGGCGCCACCCAATTCACAACCTACCGCACAGTAACCCACCTCCTCCAAACACACTCCCCGCGCCCGCTCCCCCCGCCCCTCGAGTCCTTCCTCGCAGGCGCAACAGCCGGCGGCCTCGCAACAGCAACGACCTACCCGCTCGATCTCCTCCGCACGCGCTTCGCAGCAGCCGGCCCCGACCGCATCTACAGCTCGCTCGCGACATCCATACGCGACATCGTCCAGCACGAGGGGGCGCGGGGTCTATTCCGGGGATGTAGCGCTGCGATCGCGCAGATCGTGCCGTACATGGGACTCTTTTTCGCGACGTATGAGTCGTTGAGGCCGATCGTTGGGTCGGGGGGGTGGGGTGGGTCCGGGGATGCGGTTGCGGGGGTGGTGGCTAGTGTTTTGGCGAAGACGGGCGTGTTCCCGTTGGATTTGGTCAGGAAGAGACTGCAGGTGCAGGGCCCGACGCGCGGGTTGTATGTGCATCGGAATATTCCGGAGTATCGGGGGGTTGGGGCGACGATTGCGGTTATTGTGCGCACGCAGGGGGTGAGGGGGTTGTATCGCGGGTTGGTGGTCAGTTTGGTGAAGGCTGCGCCGGCGAGTGCGGTGACGATGTGGACGTACGAGATGGCGTTGAAGCAGCTGCGGGAGATGGGGATTGCCGACACGTGATCGGGTGTACATCATAAACATAGATATTTAGAGCGACGCGTCGACGTTGGATAGAATCTACGGTTCAATCGAGCCATACTAAAGCAAAACACAAATTACAAGGTCGATTCAAGGAATCGATTAGATACACCATACACCACGAACGGAGGCGACAACGCTGGAAACAGGAACGGAAGGGGGTGTCGAACGCAAGATACCCATCATTCCCACGAAGGATGACAGGAAATGAAACAAACCAGACAATAGCCGCAGACCACAAGGCAGCATATACGGGGGGGGGCAATTAGTATTCGCCCTCCACATCCACCTCCGGGTCCAAGGTGTCGCCGGCCACTTCCTCGTAGTCCTTCTCCAACGCCGCCAGATCTTCCCGGGCCTCCGAGAATTCGCCCTCCTCCATGCCTTCGCCCACGTACCAGTGCACGAACGCGCGCTTGGAGTACATGAGGTCGAACTTGTGATCGAGACGGCCCCACGCCTCGGCGATCGAGGTAGTGTTGGAGAGCATGCTGACGGACCGCTCGACCGGAGCCAGCTCGGTGTCGGGCACGCGCACGGGTTGCTGGTAGTTGATGCCCAGCTTGAATCCCGTGGGGCACCAGTCCACCAGGTTGAACGACGCCTTGGCCTTGAGCGCGGCGACCGCCTGCGTGCAGTCACGCGGCACCACGTCGCCTCGGTACAGCAGCGCGACTGCCATGTACTTGCCGTTCCGCGGGTCACAGACGACCATCTGGTTGTTGGGCTCGAAGCCTGTACATACCGTCAGTCACTATCATTTACCGCCGGTAGGGACACAAGGGAACACGGGAAGGGGACGTACACTGGAAGGTCAGGTCCTGGATTTTGAAACTCTCGTGCGAGCTGCGGTTGCTCGATACCACCGGGGCATACGAGATCAGGGGGTAGTGGATCCGCGGGAAGGGCACCAGGTTGGTCTGGAATTCGGCCAGGTCGACGTTCAAAGCGCCGTCGAAGCGGAGGCTAGAGGTGATGGAACTGACGACCTGGGCGATCAGGCGGTTCAGGTGCTCGTACCCAGGGCGAGGAATATTCAGGTTGCGACGGCAGATGTCGTAGACGGCCTCGTTGTCCACCAAGAAGGTGCAATCGGAGTTTTCGATGGTGCTGTGGGTGGACAGGACGGCGTTGTATGGCTCGACGACCGCCGTGGAGACGCGAGGAGAGGGGTAGATGGCGAACTCGAGCTTGGCCTTCTTGCCGTACTCGGTGGAGAGACGCTCGAGGAGCAGGGCTCCAAAACCGGAGCCCGTACCACCGCCAAAGGAGTGGAAGACCAAGAAGCCCTGCAGGGACGCGCAGTTGTCTAGCTGATATTAGCCGGGAGCTTCCACGGGGAAAGGTAGGTAGGCCTACCGGCCACACGACGAATGCGGTCCACCACGTTGTCAACTAACTCCTTTCCAATGGTATAGTGGCCACGAGCATCTACATAGATCAGTCACTTGTTCCTTGCGGTCGATGGAGCGATCGGCGTACAGTTGTTGGCGGCATCCTCCTTGCCACTGATCAACATTTCAGGGTGGAAGAGCTGGCGATAGGGGCCGGTCCGGATCTCATCAATGGGCTACAACTGTCAGCAAGACATGGTCCGATACGGGGTTATTTTGCGAGGGACATACCGACGGGTCCAGATCGACGAAGAGGGAGCGAGGCACATACTTGCCGCTGCTGGTCTCGCTGAAGAAGGTCTCAAACGAACCACCGGCGTTGATGTCCTCCCCCTCCGGACTCAGATGACCGTCAGCTTTGAGGCCATGTTCTAGAAGGTAGCTATACGATGGTAGGAACCGAGGTTAGATGGATGACGAAGTAAAAAAACTTAAAGCGGTGAGGGACATACAGCTCCCAGGCACTGTTACCGAGCTGAGCGCCCGCCTGACCGATATGGATATGGCACACCTAACGCGAGTTTCATTAGCTTTGGTGGCATTGACGGTGTACGACGTGTTTTATGGATGGGGGTATATGTTTTTCTTTGAATTAATTTATCGGGGAGGAATGCGGGGGGATAACGGTCCGTCAACCGGGGAGGGGCTCCATACTTCGCCTCGCATGGTGGAAGAACGGTTAAACGCGGTCTAGAAATCTAGGGAAAGAAGATTGGGGATGAAAGAAACTTCCAGCAATCGAAAATAGACAGCTGGAGGATGGATTGATGAAGTGAGTGCGGTAGAGGAATAGGAGAGACACGTAGATCGAAGGAGAGAAGAAAAGGAAGAGAAGAAAGAAGAGAGAGAAGAGGATGGGGTGAGGTTCGTTCCTGCCTGAGCAATAAACACCGCCCACGGGCCAATCAGCGACCGCCCTGGCTCCCCTGACCCGGTTTTCCCATCGGACCATGAGCTGTTCATCTTCTCGATCTTTGTCGGTGCCCAGACCCTGCCATGGCATGTTGACAAAGAAATGGATGGATGTGGGGGTTATTATGCCAAAGGAATAAAAGTATGAATGAAAGGATGACCAATTCAACCACTTGAGAGCGACAATCGGATCAGCCAGACCTGGACCCTTCTATATATAAAGCGGGGCCATGACTACATCATTACCGGAATTCACACCCTAGTCGCCCAGGGTTCGTTTCGCTCGGTCTCTATGACGGAGTACCATCCACCAGCTATGATAGGTATTCTTATGGTAACCATTGTTTACTTTGAAGCCTAAAACATGAATCTTCAATGTAATATTTTTACTCTTGATGCTTTACAATATAGGTATGATCGAAAAAAATATTCAATAATCACAAATAAGTCATGACTTAGGTTCCACTAGATTCCCGAGTGCAATCCCGCTACACTACCTTAGTAGCAACAAGGATAAGATCTTGTATTTGACGCCATGGTGTGTTTATCGACTGGACGATAATACAGCATACCGAAGTGGTGAAACATAAACAATAGATCATGGATGGACCAATATATTTAAATCAAGAGCTCCCGAGAAGCCTCAAGCCACCCGCATGTTTATTGTGACACAGTGATCTGGCCTGCTGTTTTCCTGCTGATTTAACAGAATCCTCCAAGTCGTAACCTTCCTTGATTTTCCTACGCTTCTCATAGCTTTGTCCCTGTTTATCACAGAGAAAATAATTCCATCTCTAAACCACATCCATGTTCCGCCATGTCTACCAGCCCTCTACCTTCTTGTCCAAGACTCGAAGGATTCCTTTAGCCCGGCAATTTCATAGAGTTACCGCACACTTCTTGAACCACGAATTGAAAGAAAATCTGGTTACTGAGAAAGTTCCTGTTATTGTTGACAACCCAGGAACAATTTGCATTCTAGTGTTTCCAAAAATTGGCAGTGCTCTCCGTGCCGCTGCAGCTGCAAGTCAACTCCACATCTCTACACCTGCTGCAAGTACTCAAGAAAGATGCAAACTTATATTTTTCCACGACTCGCAATATTTGGGCTTGGTAAGTGCTCAGGTTTCAATCATTCATAATGTCGATACCAATGTCCTTATCAACGCTAGAATCATCCAAGAATCATCTAGTTACCCCCGCCTATACATCCCCCAACAAATCCCGCGCCAAACGGAGTCCAGTGTAAGCTCTACTACGTTGTTTAGATGGAAAAATGCATGAGATTACTCTCGATGGTACTGAAGATGGTGACATTGCCCCATGGCTGGATTATGATCTAACGGTTTTAACATTGTCATAGCTCACTTTGCTCACCACGCAAGTGCTACTGCACAAAAGTTGGAGCATGTATTGGACCAACTGAAGAATATGTGAGTCACTGTCTTGGCCGCGTACATATCCACGAATCAGTAATTCTCGAGAGTATATATGTCCCTTGGGTACCACATACATATATTCTCCATCCGTTTAACGGTGGATCAGGATCACAATCCCGTTAGGGTGACCCACATATATATGGTAATTCTGGTCGGGCGCGAAGCATCCAATGTATCAAAGACAAACAGAAGATACTATCAAACGAGCTCGCATCAAACCTAGACCCCGCATATCCTACCCAGAAGGCGACATGGCCAAATAACACTACAATAGGTGGGAGGCTACAAGGGCTACGAACCATCCATAGCTTGCATTAGCGGCCACCAGTCACCACATGCGTCTTTAAGCTCGTTCGTTCTCCGCAAGCTGGCATAACATAGTGGCTGATTAGCTTGCCACATTTGTACGGAGAACAAGAGTATTTTACTGAGCATCCCGAGTAGTGGAGTAGCTGAATGAATTGCCACTAACCAACCTCGACCCCTGCTAGATAGTCAGTTAGCGTATACTAATCTGAATCAAACGAATGCGCTTACAGCCCCCTCTTCGGATCGGCGTAAAGAGAACGCCAAATTCACCACGTTAGTGAGATCCAGCGGCAAATGAGTCATTGGCGTACTTTATTATAATGTACGTCTTATACGGTATCTGGACTTTTGTATCAACGGGTCCTAGTTACTGTAAACGTGAAGTATAGTCATCAATGCCCGACTCAACCATGCCATCACCAACCAGCACCCACCGAGATGAAGAAAAGACCATACAGCCCCCCGTCCCCGACAACCCTACCCCAGACCCAGCCCTCCCACCAGAAGGCGGCCTCCGAGGCTGGCTATGCTGCGCCGGCGGCTCCCTAGGATTCTTCGCTACCCTAGGCTTCCTGAATGCGTTGAGTCTTCCTCCAAAAGAATATCAAGACCCGTCCTTTCTAACCAGCACAGCATCGGCATTTTCCAAACCACCTACCAAGAAACTCTCCTAAAAGACTACAGCTCCTCCGACATCTCCTGGATCTTCACAATCCAGCTCGCCCTCATCTGGGCCCCAGGCTCCCTATTCGGCCGCATAGTAGACACCTACGGCCCCCGCCCGGTCATGCTCCCATGTGCCTTTCTCTGCGTCTTCTCACTATGCATGACGAGTCTCAGCACGAAATACTACCAGATCGTCCTGGCGCAGGGCGTCGGGTATGGACTCGGCGCGGGGGGGATCTTCACCACTTCCTTGGTCTGCGTGGGGCAGTGGTTCGTCAAGCAGCGGGGTCTTGCTATGGGGATTACCGTTGGGGGGAGCAGTATTGGTGAGCCTACCCTGTCCTATGTATCCTATGTATCCTATGCTATCTGTGCCTACAGCGGGTTGATTTGATGTATAACCAGGAGGCGTAATCTTCCCCTTCTTCCTCCGCCTAGTCATGCAAGACGTAGGATTCGAGGGCATGGTGCGCTACACCGCGCTCTTCATCGGCATCGCGCTAGTAGCCTCCTTCTTCCTCCTCAGCGCGCGTCTGCCTCCCAAGAAATGGGACTCAGACGTAGCCTGTATCGACGTCACGCTGTTCAAGGAGCGCGGGTTTGCGTTCTACGCGCTCGGCTCGTATTTCGTAATGTGGGGGTTGTGGGCGCCGTTTGATTTTTTGCCGAGCATGGCTCTGTTGGGGGGGATGGAGGAGTCGTTGGCTATTTATTTGATTGCTATTGTGAAGTAGGCTTTGTCTGTCGGTATTGTGTGTTTCTGGCTGGGCTGACCTGTATGATAGTGCTTCTTCGCTTTTCGGACGGGTTATCCCTGGACATATTGGGGATCAGGTGGGGTATTTTAATGTGATAGTCGCGTCCACGTTCTTCAGCTGCATTGCGATCCTGTGTTTATGGCTGCCGTTCGATTACCATTCTTCGAATTCCGGGCTCGTCGTTTTTGCCGTCGTGTATGGCTTTTTCAGCGGCGCTTTTGTGAGTATCATGATGCCGTGTTGCGCCAAGTCTGGCAGTTTGGAGACCTTGGGGAGACAGATAGGGACATATCAGGGTGTTATAGCGATTGCGTAGGTTTCGCTGGCCCCTGCTTTTGGCAGCACTCTTACTGGCCTGCCGATTATGGGAGCCATCCTGGGAAGGCAGCATAATGAAACCTACATGGGCATGCAGGTGTTTGCCGTTGTGACGATGTTTCTTGGGTTTTTGTTTCTGCTGGCTTCTCGGAATGTTCTGTCTGCGGCGAACGGGACGTGGAGGTATTGAGTGTATGATGGATAGTATTAGATGGATTTATAATATACGTTGCTGGTGGTTGGACAGACTGTTTTCTGGCTTGCTATAGGTCGCATTCCATAACATTCCCCTGGAAGTAGGCAAGAGAGTTGGCTGAAATGACCAGTATCTGGGAAAGATGTCCGGATATAATGAGCTAGTAGTCTCTGACACATAATAGGACTAATGACTTTCTATTCCTGTTACTTCTGATCAGCTGTTCTTATTATTCATGTATCAACTTCCTAGACCTCCCTAACTTTTACTGCCTACCATTTCCCAGGTACAACCCCCATGAAACATCCCTCGACTTCTTTGTATTGTCTTGCAGTTTCAATTCTCCAACTCCATTCACCGAGTATAGGCAATACGAAGTATCCTATTTATATAAAAACCTGGGTTGCACCAAGGCATACCCATAATGATAGAGTTGTCAGATGCTAAGCTTGATGCCTGAGCGTTATACAAAGACGATTGAAGTTGCGCATAACCTTATCGGATAGCACAAAACTCAATATGATGATAGTCTCGCGATTGTTGTCTTCTGATTTGATGTTGGAAACCTAATCCAGAGTCTGGGGTCACAGTTGGTACCTCTTGTAGTCTAGTATCCCGTCTGAACCTGATAGTATCACAGGTTGGTCCTCACGAAGAGCGGTGTATCTTAGGTTGATGAGTTCTAGATAATTCAAGCGTTGCTTTATTAAGGACTGAAGTCGTGTAGTACAGACATCTGAATCAGATTGATATTACTCAAGGATCTCCAGCCAGTCTTTCTAGACGGATTAGGTGTAATGAGTATTATATGCAAGGATACCACTAATGATCTACAGTTAATTTCATGAACACTCATCAAGGAGTTTGATAGGAGTATTAATATATTAATGTCAGCTCAGGGGTTGTTGATTTAAATTAGCGGCAGCTTCTTATTAATATTTATACCAAGACCGACTGTTCAGTCCTGGAGCCTACGGGGAGTAATTTAAAACAATCATCGAGGGCTTGTTGATGTCACCGTGATGGGATCGATACATGTCGGGGGAACCGGAATTGTATACCTACAGATCTTGCCAAAATTACACGAGGACCTAGTAATTCACCTGGACCAAGCAACACAGATAGTGAAAAACATGTTTCGGATGACAGCCACGCACAACCCTATCTCTCATATATACGGATACTCCAACCCGAGATAGACAGTTCCTCAGTCGACCGATCCGGACAGGGTTCATCATCCAGGAGAGATCCATATATTAAGCCGGATCTATTTATATACCGATGGAATGAAAAGGATGGCAGATGGAAGGAAGAATGTCTATCAGTTTCAAGTAGAGAGAGAGACGAACCATGGAACGTGGAATGACGGTGGGAACCGACCGAGTTTATTGCGGGCTTGGCGGTGGCCATGTATTTTTGGGTATTGTGGTATCGGTTCGTACGGTCTCCGATCCCGATTGCCACTGGGAATTGGCGGATATGACAGATCTGAACAACTTGATCATGGCGATGGAGATGTCAAGAGTGTGGGTATCTCTACATGATATGTATATGTAGGTATATATTCCTCCGTATCTACGTCTAGAGATGAGAGAGATCGGAGAAATATCCATTGGGACTTCGAGATAGAGATCCACTGCGAAAGAACCGGACGGTCTGGAACCAAAAATCTCTTCGTCGCGGCCTCATTGTCTCCACCAGGCCTGATTTTACTCCCGTGCGATCGGCCTTTTTTTTTTTGGTCTTCTTAGTCTCCATTTCTCTCCCGCATTTCTTTCTCTCTTTTCTCTCCATTGTTCGCTTCTCTCTCTTGCATTGGATTGGATCTTACCCTGGTTCGGTTGAGACGACTAAGGACTAGGTACATAATCACCTTGATCTCGTCCTTGTTTCCCCCCTCTTCTTGGTCTCTTGGTGTTCCTTGCCTCCCCAAGTCGCTTGGCCACTATCCGATTCGAAACTATATCGCCCGCGTCTCCACTCGGAGCACTTGCTGCTCTGCTATCTTACCGACTCCTAGCTCTCTTTTCGCTTCTCCAATGGCCGCGGCCCATCTCCATCTTCCTCTCTATACTTTAGATTGATTTTCCTCTTTTTTCTTTTTTTTTCTTTTCAAATCTCTCTTTATCTACTTCTTCCCCCAATTCTTTCTTCTGTCCCCGTTTCTCCCCCATTCTTCCCTCTTTCCCTCCCTCCCTGTCATCTTTATCCTCTTGAAGACAATACCTTCAATTGTCCCCCCTCTGGCCTGGCTGGTGCCAGCATGTCGTCCCCCGTCGAGGAACGTCCCACCTCCAAATACTCCGAGGACAAGAACCGGAAGAATCTCCGCCATGACGATGGCTATCCCCACTCCGAGAAAGGCTCCTACGTCCAGGAGGGCTCCATGGCCAGCACCGGTGACCATCTGCGCGTCGATACCTCTGTTCAGGATTCCGATCACCACACCTTGCGCTCCGCCTCCGCCCGGAGGGAGCACGCCATGCGCTTAGAGGACGACCTGGCTGTCCTCGAAGCCGAACGCGTCGTCTCCCGCTCCACCCAGGACCACCAGGAGGAGAAGGCCCCCGCCAGCGCCGGCGCCGCCGAGAACGAGTCCATCTCGCGATCCCGCTCTCGACGCTCCCAGACCGTCGACGAGTTCGACGAGGCCACCAATCCCTTACATGAGAAGGCTGCCGTCTACAATCCCCCGGACAACCCCAACACCAACTTTGCCAAATTCATCAAGAAGCTCCACGGCTCTAGCTTCGTCATCCGCTACCTGACTTATATCGTTCCTTTGGTTGTCATTCTTCTCATCCCGCTTCTTGTCGGCGCCCTCGCCTACCCCAATGCCAGCGTCGGCGGCGTCGAATTGCTCTGGTTCTCCGTCTGGTTGGAAATTGTCTGGCTCACCCTCTGGGCCGGTCGAGTGCGTTCCTCTCTTCCCTCTTCTTTTGAACTCCTACCTAACATGTACAGGTCGTCGCCAAATGTATCCCCGTCCCCGTCGGTCTCCTCGCCAGTGTCTTCACCAACAATGCCAAAAAGTGGCGCGACATGGCCAAGCAGCTCGAGCTCCATGCCACCCTCTTCTTCTGGTGGCTCGGCGTCGAGATCTCCTTCCTCCCCACCATGAAGAACCACCACATCGGTGGCAGCCGCGAGACCCGCAGCTGGGAGAGCACCCTGAACAAGATCATCATCTCCATCTTCGTCTGGACCATCCTGAACCTCGTCGAGAAGTTCATCATCCAGCTCATCGCCATCAGCTTCCACACCCGCACCTACGCCGACCGCATCGAGATCAACAAGTTCCAGATCGGCAGCCTGACCAAGCTCTACGAGTTCTCCCGCGCCAAGATCACCGCCAAGGATGACGAGTTCGAGGAGCAGGACGAGCAGGGCGGCAGCGGCACCAAGACCCCCATGCAGCTGCCCTTCCAGTACGCCGGCCGCGCCCAGAAGGTCGCCCGCGGCGCCCTCCACAAGGTCGGCGACGTCGCCGGCGCCGTCGCCGCCGACTTCACCGGCCGCAAGGCCACCAACAGCAACCATCCCTACCAGGTCGTCCTGACCCTGCTGCGCACCACCACCGGCTGCCAGGTTCTCGCCCGTCGCCTCTACCGCACCTTCGTCCGCGACGGCTTCGAGACCGTCTTCTCCGGCGACCTCAAGGAGGCCTTTGACAACAACGAGGAGGCCGAGGCCGCCTTCATCATGTTCGACAAGGACATGAACGGCGACATCTCCATGGACGAGCTCGAGGCCGTCTGCGTCGAGATCGGCCGCGAGCGCAAGTCCATCACCGCCTCCCTCAAGGATCTCGACTCCGTCGTCTCGCGCCTCGACAACGTCCTCGGCTTCTTCGTCGCCGTCATCACCATCATCGTCTTCCTCTCCATCATCTCCACCTCCGCCGCCGGCGTCCTCACCTCCGCCGGCTCCAGCGTCCTCGCCCTCTCCTGGCTCTTCTCCGCCACCGCCCAGGAGTTCCTCCAGTCCGTCGTCTTCGTCTTCATCAAGCACCCCTTCGACGTCGGCGACCGCGTCACCATCTACGGCAACTCCGGCGACGCCGGCCTCGGCGACGACTACTTCGTCAAGCAGATCTCCCTGCTCTACACCGAGTTCAAGAAGATGCAGGGCCACATCGTCCAGGCCCCCAACAGCTACCTCAACACCCTCTTCGTCCTGAACCAGCGCCGCTCCGGCGCCCTCGCCGAGGCCATCCCCATCGTCATCAAGTACGGCACCACCCTCGAGCAGATCGACACCCTCCGCCAGCGCCTGCTCGAGTTCGTCCGTAGCGAGCGCCGCGAGTTCCAGACCAACATCCTCACCGAGATGCGCCAGGTCACCGAGAACTTCTCCGTCACCCTCAACGTCGTCTTCTTCTACAAGTCTAACTGGCAGAACGAAGGCCTCCGCCTCCAGCGCCGCAACAAGTTCATCTGCATGCTCATGATCGCCCTCCAGGAGATCGGCATCGAGGGCCCGCGCATGAACCTCCAGGGCGCCCGCCGCGACATCCCCTTCCACCTGTCCGGCTTTGGCAACCCCACCGGCGCCCCGCCAGGCTCCTCCGACGGCGGCGGCAGCTTCCAGCACCCACCGCCCCCGACCCCGCTCTCCGAAAAGGACACCATCCCGGAGAACACCGGCGTCAGCAGCGGCGTCAGCACCACCCGCAACGCCTCCATCCTCCGCAAGGGCATGAACACCGCGGCCGCCCGCGCCCGCGGCGACACCATCCAGTCCCGCAAACACGTCGACTTCTCCCTCGGCATGCGCGACTTGTCCTCCGGCGACGTCATGGGCGACGTCTTCGAAGACCGCACCACACGCGTCGACGACGTCGTCCGCGAAGCCAACCGCGAGGCCGCCGAGCGCCGCATGCAAGAAGGCCGCGAGGAGGCCGAAGAACGCCGCAGCCGCGCGTCCTCCTCCCAGGCGCGCAACAACTCGCACTCGACCACCAACCTCAGCGTCCCCTCCCCAGCCGTCGGCCGCCACTCGACCGAGTCCGGCGGCGGCCACAGTCTGTCCTCGCTCAGCCGCAATCGCTTCTTCCGCCACCGCAGCAGCGTGACGAGCCGCGAACATGCAGATCTGGCGGAACAGGGCCGCTACGAGAATGATGGCCATCTCTCTCCTTTCCCTCCGGCCCCGGATGCGCCCAATACCGGTAGTCAACCTAGCAATCCCACGCATCCCCGCCCTCACCAGCAATAGTCAACAGCTGCTGGACTAGCTCCCATATTGCAATATACCCTCCACTTACTTTTTTACCATGTATCTATTCCACCAAGCAACTCTCCACGAGATCACGCTATACGTTTCCCCCCCGATTACCGACGAACCCCCCCCACGGTCCGTTCGTTCGACCAATACGGAAATTCATTCTACGGATCCCTTCCCCCCCCCCCCCCCCCCCCCCCCCCCCCCCCCCCCCCCCTCTTTCCATCTTCTTCATTTCACATTTCCTACTACAGCATTTACCACCAAGAGGCTTCCTGTTGTTTCTACCCTGCCATATACAGCCATCATCTACGCACCACGTAAGCGATGATCATCTACGACTGTTTAATGTAATTTTTTATCCCAGCCCTTACACTGTTTCTAAACTGCTGTTCTACAATGCTTTTTCCACTGCTTGATCTTTTTGTCTGGTTCACTCATCACCTGTGTCCTTTCGATGAGTTATTGTTTTCGAGTATGTTTGCATATCTTTTTTTTTTTTTTTTTTTCTTGTGTCCTTGTCCTGGAGTATTGGGGCGATGGAATGAAAAAGTAAATACACTCCTATATTTATCTATTATCTATTGATTCGGCTTTACCTACCTATACACCTATCCATATAGCTGTATAGAAATTATAAATGTATAACTATGTATAGTTGTCTCTATCCAGCTTATCTATGTAGTTATCTCGAGTCATATTTCTAGGTATTTACTACCTACCTGTATAAAACACGTATATCCTCATCGAAGTAAAATTCTATACTTGAGTTACATAATGCTTTACAAAAATAGAGTCGAGAAGAGTAAACTAGAGTAGTCAAGAAAAAAATCTTTATCTTATCTTTATCTTATCTTGATATCTAGATACATACACAATTTTGGATTCAAGGTCTGTCTTCGAGTGGAGTTGGGTTGGGTTGGGTTGGGTTGCGTTGCGTTCAAGAAAACGCAAGGAAAGTAAATGTAACAAACATGTGATGTGATAGGATGTAAGGGTGGGAGAAATCAAGTTTCTGCGATGGAGCGAGTACAGCACAGCAAGGTTGGTTAAATTGGATACGGATTGAGAAAGTTTTGAGAGATAAAAAAAAAAAAGAAAAAATTGAAACGAATGGAGTCAAAAGTAAAAAAAAAAAAAAATATAATAAAAACCTGGTGAGATGATGATATCCTTGTTGTTGGCACGCCTGTAAAACACCCGCTTAGACCCGAGCATAGCATAGCATATCATATATCAACATATGATGAATAGATGAAGAGCAAATAGAAAAATCAAAGGAGAGTAAGAAGGAAGACAAGGGGGAGAAATATAGAAAGAGAGGTGAAGAAAAGAGAAGAGAAGGGCAGACGAGGCGAGTAAAGCCTTACATCCGACAAAACATGTAGAGTGGGGGTAAAGCCTGCATGTCCAACGCCAAAAACTAGCAAACAGTCTATCTCATCAATAGATAGTACAAATCTTTCATTCTACCGTTCAGACAGACGAGGCGTCTGTTCCGAGCCCAAGTCAATGGAAGGCGTGTGAGACGGTCGAGGCGTGGCTTCGGCGTCTAGAAGTGACTGGTCGTCGTCTGCGTCGTCCCGCGAGACCTTCACCAATGGTGTGTTGGGATCTGTTGGGGTGTGTGCGTCTTCTGATAACGTGCTGGGCGGGGTGGTGTTGCCCACCATGGAGCTTTCGGCCTCAGCAGCGTCATCAGCCTCAACGATGTTGGCGCGGAAGAGCGGCGACGGGTGTTGAGGGAGAGGCGGTGACGATGCGTGTAAGAGCATTCGTGCAGTGGCGCGCGGGCTCGAAGCTAGCCCTAGCATGGGAGAATGGCGTGGACTGAACTGGTCGTCTTCTAATGATATCGTGTCGTCGTTAATATGAAGTCCCTCGAACCGGTCGTCGATCTCCGTGCTTCGAGAAGGTGACGAACCCATGCGATCCTCGTCGCTAAAGCTAAGGCTGGTGGAACCGCCACTGCGGCGCCTCTCCAGCTCCCTCTCCTTTCGGATCAGCTCTTCGCTACCGCTCACCACGCTGCCTCGGCTGTTGGTCCGCATCATCTCGATTCCGAGCTTGGAGCCGGGACGGTTGGACCGTGTCCGGGAGCTAGGTGTTCGCACCTGCGAGTGACCAAGCTCTTCATCCTCGTCGTCACCCGACTCGGCACATTCGTAGCGTTTCTTTTCTAGAGATTCCCGTTTGGCACGTATCGCCTCGCTGGATCGCTGCTTGCGCGGTGTCAGGACCCCGGAGGAATTGACGGATGCCGGAGCAGAGGACGCGTGGAGCATCTGTGGCTCGGGCGCTGAGCTGGCACTGGGTGGCGAGTCAGTGGTCTCTTGGATTGCAGGCGGAGCCTCCGATATCCCAAGACCTCCATCTCCTTCCTTGCCACCCCATTCATCGGCTCGCTGGCTGACTATGACAGGCGCCTCTTCGGGCTTGACGGATTCCACGTCGCCAAAGTAGCTGCTGCCGACCGAGTCTGCGCGGTTGGACCCCTGGTAGGAACTAGGAGGCACGAGCGCGAACCCGGACGATGTCGTCGAGCTTGGGCTGTGCTCCGTCGGAACAGGAGGTTGACGTGCTGCAGAGGTCGGAACTGCTAGTGGCTGGGTAGGATTGTAGTCTTTCGGCGGGGGCTTCCACTGGCAGAACTTGCACAGGGCTTCCGTAAGCTTGGTCAGGGTTGGGGGTTTCTCAATCAAAGAGGTAAAGGGATGCGTTTCCGGCAAATCCTTTAAATATCCAGTGACTGCGATGATCGGCGTATGTCGGTTGGCACCCCGCGTTTCGCGCACCATGCGAGCCACGTCGCTTCCATTCACCTGGGGCAACTTGAACTCAGTCATAATGATGTCAAATTGAACTTCACTCAGCGCAAAGCGCATGGCCTCGGCGCCATTTTTGGCAGTGATTGTACGGCACCGGAGTTTTTCGAATAGACGCTCCATGACAAGCCGAGACACCGGATGATCCTCACAGATGAGCACGTCCAGTGGTCGGAAGAACGGCCCGTCGGGAAGGTTGATCTGCGACAGCCGTCTGGAGCTCTGTCGGCGCCGTTGTACTTTAAGTAGGGCTTTGGTACGGGGGTCTTCATTGTCAGAGGAGGATGGGGAGACATCGGCAAAAAGCTGGCTGCGACGTTTGTGGTGGCCTGGGACATAGGACTCCTTGGTCACAGACGACGACGACAGCTCCCCGCCGTCTTGAGATCCGATCGTTTGCGACCTTGCGCGGCTGGGGACGCTGCCCTGCCGGTGCAGACTCGACGGCATCTTATCAGGTGAATGGGTCGAGACTCGGCCGCCGGCTTTGATGGGCGAAGATGCCGCTGAGTTGTATTTGAGATTGCCCATCCGGTTTGGATCCGAACCAACCGGGAAAGACCCGCTGCTGGATTGGTGAGAGTTGGTCGAGGATGAACCGGAAGTCTTTCTGCGCTCATGATTGTGGCCAGTGCTGAACTGCACAAGGAGTGGCGAGGAAGGTTGCGACGGACGACTGGGTGACGAATTTGCCTGGCTCAAGCTTGAAGGGGAGGATGGCCTGTTATTACCCTTATTCTGGGATAGTGTCCGCTGCAATGGCATTGGTAACGGACTCCCTTCCAACGATGGCCCAGACGCGGTTGACGTTGGCCCTGAATTCGACCCAGATCCTTGTCCCTGGCTCTGAGCCTGGCTATGGCTTTGGCCTTGGCCTTGTACCTGTGATGAGTCCAGTGATGACTGCTGTGATGACTGCTGGGATGGATGCTGCTGAGGTTGCGGTTGCGGCTGCTGCGGCTGTGCACCCGGAGGTGGAACCGAGCGTTGTTGTGCTTGCATGGCTTCTTGGCGCAGCTTCTGGATCACATCTTTGTTGGCTTTCTCCAGCATTGGAAGATTCTTGAACGCGAAGTTGCCAAAGTCGTCGGCCAAAGAAGGCTCACTCAACCTCCGGTTGCGGGAGTCGCGGACATGAGGTGGGATATGCAAAGGCATCAGTGGCCGTTTCGTTGAATTGACCTGCGTCCGCACTTTGAAGAGGGCGTCGTGGGGACGATCTGGGGGATACACCGCACCGGCTGTCACTGGGGTGTGCGGCGAATGGCCATCTTCGAGCTCCTCGGCAAACGCTTGCAGCGTTGCGCCACGGGCATCAAAATATTCCGTATCTTCGGGATTCTCCGTGTTGGGTACAAACTGCGCCTTATCTTCCATCAGGGTATCCCAATGGATGTCCGAGAACCAGGGGTGACTTCGGATCTCTGCCCCGCCGTTCGGGAACCTCTCGTCGACGTTGGCCCCAATGCGGTCCCGGGGGCGGATGGTCATCAGCTTGTTCATCAGATCGATGGCTTCCGGGGAAGCGAGCTCCTCGGGGTCATCCGGCCAGTTGATCTTCCGATGGAGGATATTGTCGAACACTTCGTCGGGTGTAGCGGCATTGAAAGGGGGGTAGCCGAAAAGGAATTCAAACAAGATGCAGCCCAGCGACCACCAGTCGCTGACTTCATCTTGGCCTAGACCGTTGATGGTCTCCGGAGCCAGATAGTCCGGTGTCCCGACGAAGCGCCTGTTGTGGTCTTCCGGGTCGAACAGCGCCATCAACGGCGGCATCATGCTTTGCTGGGGTGGGGTCCCGTACGAGGCCTGGTTGCTAGTCGTCGGCTGTAGGGGTTGCAGCTGAGGGGACGACTCGCCCGCCTCGCTCTGTCCCTCTTCTTCAGGCAGATGACCCCACGGAGTGAGCGGAAAGGGCAGTGAGCCCAAGCCTTGAGACTCCCCGCGTGCGTCGCTGCCATCGTTGAAGGACATATTCCGGAACATGGTGTGGAGGTGATCGCTACTGCCGCTGTCACTGCGGTAGCCCGACGCCCGGCGGGACGTCTGTCGGCTCAATCCGCTCCCCCCTTGTTGACTCAGACTGAAATACGATGGCTGCGGCATGCTCCCGGCCATATCTGGCGGGATCAACGGCGTCGATCCAGGGGATCCGCTACCCTGGAGGTCGACCGAGGCCGAGCGGGAAGAGGCGATCGAGGTGGCGCGGGGGAAGGGGCCCTGCCGGAGAAGGTCGGGCGTCGGCTCGTTCATACTCTTCAGCACGCGTTTCTGCCGGCCGACCAGACCCATCCGGGACAGCCCGAAATCGGTCAGCTTCAGATGGCCGTTTTGGTCGATTAGGAAATTGTCCGGCTTGAGGTCCCGGTGGACAATGCCTCTCCCGTGCAGGTGTTCTACCCCGAGGACTACTTCGGCAATGTACTTCTTAGCCATATCTTCGGGGAGGCCACCCAGAACTTTGACGAGGGAAGCACAGTCGCCCCCGTTGAGATATTCCATTACCAAGTAGAGATAATCCTTGCTCGAGAAGGTCCAGTAGAGCTTAGCCACGAAATCGCTTTCCCCCTGCCACATCATGATCGCCCGTTCGGCTTTGACGTTGGTGACCTGGTTCTTGGCCACCATGTCCGCCTTTTTCAGCACCTTGATCGCGTAGTACTCGCCGGTCGACTTCTTCTTGGAGAGATAGACGCTCCCAAACGCGCCTTTGCTGATCGGTTTGATGATCTCGAAGTCCTTGATCGACGGCGGCGCGGGTCGCGGCTGGGGCTGGCTGGCCGAGCTCAGATGAGGCGACACGGGGGGCACCTTGGCGGCATCGGACGACGTCGCTGAAGATTGACGGCGGTGATGCCGATAGTGCATGTGGGCGAGTTCACCGGCATGAGCCGACGGGGAGACCACCGGGGATGGTAAGCTCTCTGCGCCACACGACAGTCGAGGCTTGGGCATGCGTAACGGCGAGTGGGGGCCCGACATTCGGGCTGGGGAATGCCCGCGGCGGGGGGAGCTGGACAGACCAGGAAGCACCAGGCTCCGACGCTTTCGCTCGAGGCTCCGGTCCGATGACGGCGATTCTGTCCGTAAGGTTCCGGGAAGGGCCGAGGAGAAGACGCTGCTATCGCTGACATCACCCGCGTCGCTCTCAGTCGGCGGGAACACACGACGGCCAGGTTGGGACGTCCCCAGGACGGCTGCGGCGCTTTTGTGCGAACGGGGGGTGGGACATTCCATCGGGCTATTCGACCCCGTTGACACGGCCGTGGAGGACGGCCGTCCCTCGGAAGACTGCACGGGCGGGAAGCGATCCGGGGAGTTGCGCATGGACATGGTCAAGGCCGACACTGCCGGCGCAGGCGGCACAGGCGGTGCGACCTGGGGTTCAGGCATCAATTTCGGACTTGGGGCGGCGGCGGGAGACATGGTGCTGCTATCCGGAACGTCGTCTTCGGCGGAGCTCGAGTCACTCAACTGACCCGCTGCGATGCGCTCGGCCTTGCGGAGGGCCGCGGTGATGCATTCCTCCACCAAGACCGTGTACTCGATGCGGATCCGTTCGGCGTATTCGACGATCTTGCGATGACGAATGACGGCATCCACCATCGCTCGCACCACGCCCTCGGTATCCGTACAGAGCGCGGCCAAGCCCTGCTCCTGGCCCAGCGTGTTGGAGCTCGGAGACTGCCACTGGAGGACCTGCGAGATCCGCGACTCTGACTGGGGGGACAGCGTTCGGAAATCGTCCGGGTTATCCGTGCGCGACTGCTTGATCACGGGCATGTTGATCTCGAGCGCGGTGTCACACAGGTCGAGAATCAGCTCGACCACACGGGCCAGTGGGCGCCGCACGGCGAACGAACGGCCCCGCAGGTGCCCAATGCCCGACGTCGAATGATCGCGAGATCTGGGGGGCGTACCGGGAGCCGAGCTGGCACTCGACACGGACCCGGATGACGCCACTGAGGCAGGGGCCGAGGCCGTTGGGGACGGGCCAATCGGTAATCCTTTGTACTCCGGTTGAACGGGGGGCGGCGGGCTGGTGCCCTCGCCCGCAAGAAAAGGTCTGCTCTGGCGGGCCTCCAGGGCGTCCAGAACCTTGACGATCGCGTGGCGCTGCTCGTTGAGGTTCTCCTGGGCGATTTGGACGTCCATCTCGGCTCGATGCTCCTGCAGACAGAGATCGGAGTGTTTCTCAAACCACCACGGGGTGATCTGGCGCTCGCAGATCCGGCACAGGACGGGTTGAGGGGCGGGGTGTTTCGAGACGTCGGGTTCGATGGCGGCGGCCTCGGCCAACGTCGTCAAGTAGTTTGCCAGTACTTCCGCGCCAACACCGAGGGATTCGACAAGTAACGGAGGAAGATCGATGGTGACTTCACGGGGTTCGGAGAACGGTCGCAACATCCACATGGTCTGTAGAAATGGCATCTGTCAGTCAACGTCCCCAGCACCCCCGGTCTGATCAGAGAAGGGGTGAAAGACTGCAACTTACGTGGCCGGCTCCATCTCCTCGTTCATACACCATGATCCCCTGGCCTTCCATGGTGAGAACATTGTTCCCCTCCACCTGATCGGAGGGCGCCTCCTGCTCGGTCACGTCCACATTCTCCCCCGCCTCGGTCTTCTCGGACTCCTCCAACGGGCGTGGTTCCGGCGAGTACTGCAGAATCGAGTCGGGACCCATCTCCAGGGCAAAGCGGATGAAACGACTGCGCGAGTCGTCCGCCTGGAGGGACTCGATCGCCAGTTGAAAGGCATCCTTATTGTCGACCAGGATCTCCGAGATGAGGTGACCCTCGACGGAGGCGGGTGCGGTTCCGACCACCTGTTTCCACGACGGACTGACCCATTTGACGCGACCCTCGAGATCCAGGTCGACGATGACGTTCAGGGTCTGCTCCGCCGCCTCCCTCAAGTCATCACGTTCCCCCTGCATGTCATCACTGTAGGAGCGAGCCAAAGGCGACTTGTTCTCGACCGAGCGAGCCTCCTGCCTCAGGGCGGTAACGGCCGGAGGTGCCAGAAACTGAGCATGAGCAGGGGAGGGACCATTGCCTGCCATGCTGGACCGAACGATTCCGGGAACGGAACCGTCAGGACGGGCGGGGAAGGAAGGGAGCGAAGTGAGACGAAAAGAAAAGAGGTCAAAAGATGAGCTGTGAGCACCGGACCGTCTGCCGAGCAGGGCGGGAGCCCATGAATTGAGCCTATGAATGCATTCGCAGCATCAACGGGCCATGACTAGATCGCGGGAGGGGTATGAAGTTCGGGTAGTAAGGGACGTTCCGACCGCGACCGCGACCACGACACGGGAAGTTGACTTTAGGCCTGGCGTTCACAAGGAGAGGGTATGGATCACTGGCCAAATATAAGAATTCCGGTTAGGGGACGTCAAAAGAAAGAAGAGTAAAAAGGAAAAGACGAGGTGAACTGGATCGTGATCACGTAAGGACAGTCAGGGAAAGTTAAAAAAAAAAAAGAAAAAAAAAAAAAAAAAGAAGACTAGGGGAAAGCGAAGAATGAAGAGAGCGGCTATGCGGGGGAACAGCGCGACGGCGAGGCGTCAACGCGAAGTCAGAGTGATCGACACGAATCAATCCCAAAACGATATGACTGTAACCGGCGGGAAGTTGAGAAAAGACGATCAATGGAGGAACCAACGAAGAAGGTTGAATGGGTAAGGAGAGGGGAAGAATTGAGAAGATCAAAAGTACAGATCAAGACAAGAATGGACAGGAAGGGAAAGGGGAAAAGTAAAAGGAAGAAAAGCGAGAAGAGAGAAGAGGATCAGACAACTGAAGTCCGAGAGAGAGAGGGAGAGAGAGGGAGAGGTGGTGCCAGTGGGATATGATACGGTATGGTATTGATACCAGTGTGTCATGTGATCGTACTGGTATGTAAGGGGACGGGAAGGAGACGTTCATCTTGCTTCTGATGATGACGGTGATGACGATGACAGCAACGGGTGAGACTTACTCAGAATACTTGTCAATATTGACAACTGGTTGGCTTTTCTCTTTCTTCCTGTTTTCTTCTGTCTCGGGAAGGGGTCCTGGAAGGACGCAAGAGTGGAATGGAATAGAGGCAGGTGTCTCGATAGTGAACCGTACTGGTGGATGGTGGTGGAATCATCCCCAAATCAATTGCACTTTTGACCTTCCACGTTCCATTATTATATCTCAACGCCCAAAAAAATCAGAAACAAAAAAACAAAATCAAACAGACAACGGCCATGTTTTGGTGCGCCCTTGGCCTCCGACACCTGAAGTTCAACCAGACTCATCTCGCTCGCCATGATTGGACTACATCCCAGTGCAGAAGTCATTTAGATCTGTACTATCCCGGTTTCCCCTCCCCCCTCTGCATCGAGACAACACGGCTCGTTTCTCGGGACACCACCATCCTGGTCAGACTAGTCTATTTATTTGTTTATTATTATCAACATTTTTTTTTTCTTCTTTTTGTCCAGATGGTTGACGAACCCCCTATGTTTAACATCTGTCGTTGTATCAATATTGCAGCAAAGTAACCAAACGCCACAGTCGTCCAACGGTCGACTCGACCCAACTTTCCTGACCCGAGAGACCTCTCTATTCGCAGGAATTGAATTTCGGCACAGGCGGTTCTGCCGCAATCGAGAAAGGCCACGAACATGCAGAGCTCAGTCACCTGCTCTTTGGTTTCCATGGAACCGATCCACCATTTGCTCACTTGACTACGGAGTAACTACTTACTACACGTCGAAAACGTCTCTCCTTCTACTGATCAACAGTGGATTATGTATTCTCGGAGTCGGTATCAGCTGGTATCCACCCGGTACCAGCTCGGTATCATTCCGTATCCGTCGGTATCAGGTTGCATGGCCGGTAATGGCAGTCTCAAGGGTATCAGCCAATCCGTACAGATCGATCGGCAACGGCATCATCGCAGTGTGGAGCCACGGCCTTAACCCTAACCACTTGAACCATCCGCTGTCCACTGTACTTTTTCCCTTTTTCTCCTCTTTCCTGGCTGTTATTGCCCATCATGATAATCCTGAAACTTTCGACCCCATTACAAAATCCAAAAAAGCAACAAACCCCAACCCTAAGGGGTAGTGTTCCAAACGTGGCGAGCTTCTGCGTTGGTTCATCTGCGGGGTAAGAAATCCAAAATGTGGAGCTACTTATCTGCATCTGTATCTGTATCTGACAAGTATCTCCTCCCTCCTAAAACCTGAACGGACGGGAAAGACTGTGTGGCCCAGTCTGCCCCCCCCCCCTCCCCTTGCCTCGCTGCAAGGCCCATCTGCACCTACCCTCCCTTCCATCTTCTTTAATCAAATCAGAATCTCATGGGGGGGAATAGAGCGGGTCCAAAAGACGACCTACTAGGACAGGGTTGATTGAGTATGTCCTACCCACTATCATCATCATGATGTCTGTCTGATTCTTTCTCTCCCCCCCTCAATCCATTCACACCGTGGTTCAAACCACCTTTGTCAAATTCTTCCGCACATTCGAACCTGGGGAAGCCTTCCGCCATGCGAGCCATGACCCAGCGCCCAAACAACCCCTGATGCAATCTACCACTCCTCTCGTCCTTCCTACGTGAAGGCAAGAAAAACCGAACGAATCCCCTTCGACTCCACTGAATCATCACTTCCTCCACTTTCCTCCACCATATGTATGCACATGCATGTGTGTTGCATGTTCTCTCTGTATTATGTACAAGTACGGATTACTGTATGGATCATCATCCATCTCTGTCCACCTCACCATTTCATCAAATCATTACTCAGACGAAGAACCAGCGGTACAGTAAGTCATGGTGGGGACACCACAATAGACCCTTTGATTCTGAGAAAAGGCTATACACAATGGTCAAAGAAGATGCTAGACTCGATATCCTTTCTATTCAATACGGTCTAACCGCTTGAGGTCCTTTCATCCCTGAGCCACGATCGGTCAGATCCCCCGCAATCGTCCACCAGTAGGAGACGTACGTGGTTTTGCTATCAGATGACCTTCTCCAATCAGCCATAAACTTTCTCTCGTTCTAGACATTTCTAGTCATTGTAATTACCTAACGGAGAATATGTATAGGTTAAAATAGATGGAGAAACTATGACAGAAGGAAGAAAAAAGCGGTTCTCCAAACAAACACAGACCTTATCCTATCCGCCAGAATGGATGCTAACAGTCGATCCGCAGTAGAGAAGATAGAGTAGGTCTGGCCTCTTTCCAGGGATTACCAATACCTTAGCCCTCTGCTCAATCCAACCATAAAAGCATCAATTCTAGACCTACCAAGACGATATAGATAAACTCTCCTCCCCCTCTCGCTCTTTCGAACCGAGTCGAACCGAACATATGTACATACATATCCCCCGACCCCAAAGCCAACCCCTTGTCCCGTTACTCAAAGCTCCCCCCATTCCACACATCCAATAGGGTGATTTATGTCATCGGGTTTGGTAAAGAGATTGGTTGGCAGTGGGGAAGTATATCATGCGAAGTTGATCTACTCGGTAAGTGGCTCGCTGGGGTTGTACAGACCGGAGACCGGTACTTTTATTGGTGACCAGGATGGTGTTTGCTTGATTGGGTTGTCTTTTTTGTTATTGGTTGGTTCTGGTTTTGTCTTATGGGGTGCTGCTATCATTGATGTTGGTTGGGGTCATTGGGGTTGTGGGTTGTACTTTGGTTTGGTAGTTGTGGAATTTAGCAGATTGTGTTGTTGGATATCTATATGCTGAGATGGGTGTAGATTTGGCTCGGCTTTCTACCTACCTACTTAGTATGGTATCTATATGATATCCACATAGGGCCAGTGACTACGGGATAATATGCACGGTTGCTAATAGCTGCATTATGTTTGACAATGTAAGTAAGTGGTTCCATCGATCCCATCTGGGCTGAGTAGGCAGTTATATTAGGAATTATACCGTGATAATCGTTCCTTACAGGACAAACCTCGATCTAAATATAGTTCCATCAGTGCTATATGGATCATCCGACCAGTCGATGAACAACATGCTAGTGATAGTATGATAATAGCTTCCTCAATGAAAGTAAGTTTCTCTTATATGTTAACAGACTGGCCTATCTAACCTGTTTCTATCATCAGAATGTTGGAAATATATGGCTCTCATGTCAACAGACAGTATAAATAGCATCACAACCAAATCATTGTTCCTAACAACGGTGACTGTGATAATGATTTCAAACTTATCAAAACATGGCACTGTCTGAAACACCCCATACAAAGGGTATTCCCTACCAGATAGACCCTTCATCGCAGGTGATAATCGATGATCATCTGCATTCACTCGATATCATGATGGGATTTCTAAGAGCTCTAACTCATGACCTCCCTCTCCACCTACGTCTATAAATGCATCTTCGATCAAGATATCTATTTCTCCAATCCCATCTCCCAAAGCTTCTACACAGGAATATCTTATCCATCCATCCACCCGTATCAACAACCAAACCCACCACACATCTCCAACCAAGGCTCAACAAAGCTCAAGCAAACATGTCCTCAACCCCAAGCACCCTCTCCCTCACCCACACTCACTCCCTCCCCCCCAACGCCCTCTCAATCCTAACCCCCAGCTCCCCCGCAACCTCCCAGTCAAGCCCAATCACAGACCCGCCCCCCTTCTTCGCCCTCTTCCACGACTTCACCTTCAAGCCGCGCGCATCCCTCATCGACGAATTCAACCGTCTCGCCCACCTGCGCAACTGGTCCAACAAGGGCCCCGTCCGCCGCTGGATGTGGAACTTCCTCCTCCGCGGCGAGTTCAAGCGGCTGGTGCTGCGCGCGCAGGACGGAAAAGCAGTCCCGGGCCCCGTGTTGGCTGATTGGCAGGGGCTGTGTGTGGAGGTTGGGGTTGGGGGTGAGGAGAGGAGTATTAGGAGGTGTAAGAAGGTTAGTAACTAGTTTTTTTCTTTCTTATTTCTTGATATTTAGTGGCTTTGGGGTTTGGGTTGAGGAGAGAGTGTGTGTGGGTGAGGGGGGAGCAATGCAGCTGATAATATGTTATGTAGGCCCTCGCAGAAGTTTACATCAACCTCGTGGACCTCCTCGAGTATCGACGTCTGGGGACCCCGCTGAAACGTTTTCCGGACCTGGGCGCCTTGATCCGGTATACGCGGCAGACGGGCAAGTTTGTGAGTCGGGAGCTGGTGAAGGGGGATCCGATGGTCAAGGTGTTGTTGAGGAGATTGCGTTGACATCTTACTCTATTGGGACGTGGGGTTTGATGCTAGGGTATCTATCTATCTATCTATCTGAGATGGTGTATCTGTCTGTGAGAGGGCGTGAATGTATGTGGAGGATGGGTGTGTCTCGTTGGGTATTATGTCTCGTTTGATTTGAAGAAGATAGGTGGATCTGGGCTGGATGGGAGTGATGGATGGAGAGAGTGAGGGTTGAAGTGGAGGTGATTTGAGAGATTGTATGTGGAGGATGGGTATGTCATTCGATTTAAAGATAAGTGGCGTTATTTTGAGAATGGTAGGTATGGTAACTAAGCCCGGACAAAGTCAACGAGCCAAAATCGATATCGATATTGATATTAAAATATTACTGTATTATACAAACAAACATCACCCTTACAGACCCTTCTTCTGGCTCTCCAGCCGCTCCCGCTCGACCACATACCCCACTGCACGAGCAAGACCCTCGTCAACAGGCACAATAGGCTTGTACCCCAAGCGCCACTTAGCCTTATCACACGAATAATAGCGCGTCATACACGAGTAGCGCACCATCCGCGACGTCAGCCGCGGGGTCTTGCCAAACAGACCCATCACAGACTCCGCAAGCCCGCCGATGGGACCCAGCAGACCCTCCGGCAGCTCGTAGACGTCCTGCGGCTCCACGACCCGGTCGGTCAGCGCCCACGCCGCGTGTGTCATGTCCCAGAAGTACACAGGGTGGTCGTTGGTGATGTTGAAGGCTTCGCCGTCGATGCGCTCGTAGTCGAGCAGATCGCCCTGGCCGCTTTCGTAGCGCGTGTGGGTCGCGAGGAGGCGGTAGGCGGCGAGCATGTGCGAGTAGGCTACGTTGCCGACGTAGGTGAAGTCGAAGAGGTTGTTGTTGCTGCCGAGCTGCATGCGCAGCACTGTGCGGGACGCTTTGGAGGCGTGTTCGAGGATCTTGAATGTGAATGTCGTGTCCTTTTCGCCGTAGATGCCGGCGGGGCGGATGGCGCATGTGAGCATTTTTGTCGGCGACGCGCGGTTGTAGTTCAGGACGAGCTCTTCTGCATCGGCCTGTTATTTTGAATAAGATGTTAGCTTTGTCTGACACCTCTTTCTCTGAGCCACGCGTCTGTAGAGACGGGCCAAGGCATACCTTCGTCTCGGAGTAATACTCCAGCTGTCTCTCGCCCCGAACGTAAGGCCACTCCTCGGTGACATTAATCAAGTCACTCTGCGTATCATGCACAACGGAGCTCGAGCTCGTATACACAAACGCCTTACACTTGCTCCCCCAATCGCCATGAGCGCCGCCCGCGACCTCCAGCAACGTCTTCGTGCCATCGACATTCACCTTGCGCAGCAACGGCTTGTTCCCATCCAAGACACTAGGCGTTGCAGTGTGGATAACGACGTCCGGCTTGACAGCGCGGAAGACATCCAGCATGGACTCGACGGAGGTGATGTCGCCGTCGTAGTAGTGAGCGCCCGGCAAGCGGTTGTTGGTCGTGCGCAGGTCCACGACCGCTACCTTGGCGACGTTTTTCGGGTAGCGCTCCGTGAGCTTGGGGTACTCGAAACGCGGGTCGCCGGATGGCTTGGGCAGGGTCACGCTGGGGTCGTTTTCGGAGGGGAAGTTCAGCAGTTGGTCGACGATGTGCCAGCCTAGGAATCCGCAGCCTCCGACGACGAGGACGGTGCCTAGCGGAATGGTGGGGCGCTTTTCGGTGGACATGGTGAGGTTAATGGGTAATGGCGATTTGGAGGGAGGGGCGGAGGGAATAAGGAGGGAGGGAAGGTGATGGGAAAACTCAACCACAGGCGATATGATGATTATGATGTTGGAGTTCGCTATTTAATCTAAGTTTAGGGGCGAACGGGTCCGGCTCCAGAATCTCCGTAGCCCATTTCGGGCCCCACGCTGAACGGTCGTGTTATTGGCTGGTGGACGCGTGGCGTTTCTGACTGGCTTTTCTCCATATAGAATGATATTTAGGATTTATGGAATACAGGTGTTTAGAAACATGCACGTTGTGTTTATTACTAGAATATTCGATTGCCAAAACAGGAACGAAAAAAATCAGACAGAGGGAAAGAAATGATAGAATAGGAATAATTTCTCGTGGGAGTAATAAATAGGAGACACCAAAGCTCCACAACACCCGCAAAATGACCATAACAGTCTGACGGCCGCTTAACGCGTAACTAGCCCATGAGCAAATAGCATCTCAGATATCAAGGGGATAAACATGTCTGTAACGAGCGAGTGACAGGCATTCCATCGCACTTTGGGTAAATGCCCGAATCAGTTATCCTAGCATGGTTTCACCAAATATCATGCAAACGCCTCCCTAAGCCATCATGTTAATTAGCGTGCAGGTAGAGTAGAACAAGAGAGGTCTGCAATACGTACTCGACGCTTTTCTCAACCGATTTCCGTAATTCTCGGTGGTACCGTCGTCGGCCCTCTGCACAGCCCCAAAACATTGTGGATGCTTCGGAGCGCACGTTGGCTCGCGGATCGTAAGCCGGGGAGTCCTCCTCCAGGGTCGCTAGGATGGCTTCTATATGCCAACGCATCTCGTCGCTGCGCCGTGGGACATAGCACAGCACCCCGAGCCGAGACACGCGCACATGGAAGATGGGCGTTTCCATGAACACGCGAGGCTGCTCCTCGGGGAAGCGAGGGCTGAGATAGATTTTGATCTTGAAGATGCCGCCATCGAGGTGTGTCATGGGACGACCAAAGTACGTGATTCCCCATTCAAAAGGGTTACCGTCGACAAGGTCCAGGGCGATCATAAAATTCTTCTGATTCTTGTAATCCTCGACAATCTGCTCGTACTGGCGCTGGAGGTTCGCGGAGATGCCCAGCTCTTGCTTCTGGGATAAGAGCCCCTCGGTGGGCCATTTTCGGGTTTCGCCGAGTATCTTTTCTCTAAGGAAGTTGAGTCTCCGTCTGAGCTCGGGATAGTCGAAATGGCCGTCCATGATATTGCCGATGCCTTCGAACGGCATCCGCTGAAACTTGCGATTGCGTGAGACGCCGGGCTCCGCGGCATCGACGGTCCGTAGGTAGGCGTCGAAATACCACAAGAAGCGTCGTTTACGGAGGTCAAGAAAGCGATCGCACGGTTCTTTGTCGTCATCCCAGCTTACATCCTCTTCACTCTCGTCTTCGGAATGCTTTTCGACTGAACGTGCCAGCGTCCCGTCTGGTAGGATTCCCATTGACAACTCCAATGGCTCAATGACCGCAAGGCGGAGGGTTTCATGGCGGATCTGGACACAAAAATTGCGGCTGTTATCAATCTTTCCCATGTTAAATCGGCAGGACAAAAGATACCTTGGCGACGTAAGCGTCCATATTTTCCAAATCAGTGGCAGATTTTGCCGTATCATATCCAGGCTCATTTTCGTAGGGATTGCTCGACATCAAGCTTTGAATGGATATCAACACGGACTCTAAACCCTGCGCCGATGACCACTGTTCTCCGCGTTCGCCGCGCCAGGTTCTAGGGGAGGCTGTCAGCTTTGGTCGCAGAAGTAGCTATCACAGAACCATTACCCAAGAATCGACCTATATTTTTTTATCTTAGTCAACGGAAGCAGAGTCACCGACGTCCTCTACGCTATACTCACAAGCAAACCTTGCCCGACGCATAAATGTTAGGGTTGAACCGGCACCGCCCTTTGTTGGTCGTCATGGCGCGGACACGGGGTGGACTCGCAGGGTATCCTGAGATCGCGCGTCATCAGCTTATTGCAACGTTCATGCGGTATCTTCATATTTCGTCTGGATGAACCAGCTTACCTTTCCCAAACTTGATCGCGAACTGTTGGAGAACCGATGATTAGTATCCAGGACATCCTGCGGCACAGTGGGACATGTTGATACGAACTTCGAATAGTCCAAACTCGTACGGTGTCTCTGGTGGACCCAGGATGAGAGCAGAGACGTTGCGGATGTCGGAATCATCGTAGGACACCGCGAGAGCTATGATCTTGATTAACTGACTGACTTCTAGCTGGAAGCTGCTGAGGACGGCGGTTTCCCGCCAGCTGGTAGAGGGGTCTTACAAAGATCTGTACTCTGCTGCAGCTGTTTGATTTCCTGATACCCCGCCACCCGATGAAGCCCCTCGTTAGTATCGTAGATATATGGATGGCCACACGAAAGCGACTCTGCTTGATGAGAAGGGTTGAAGGAATATTACCCTTGTGATGCGAAGGATGGCTTGATCAGACATCCTGAGGGAGACGGTTCCACTTTGCGATCAGTGGTGGGAAGAGCAACACGCAGTTGTCAGGGAGAGGGGAAACCGATAGCGACAAAAGTATGATGCTTGGATGCTGTGGGAGGCTGAACCCAGGCGGAATGACGATAGGCAGAGAGAGTGGCTGTTTTTCTGCAGCTTGAAACGCATCAAAGTGCATGAAAGAAACCAGGAAGGCTCTATAAGGCTGTCTACGGTTTCTGGAGGTTGACCAAGAAAGAAGAAAAAGGAACGAATGAATTGATCAATCAATCAATCGATCAATCGATCAGTAGATGGGAGTACTGGAAACAATGGATGACGGAATTGTATTTGAGGTACTGAATACCATCACCGCGATTAGCTACCTTAGGCACCACTTCGTTGATTCAGGTGATCTGATTGATATGGATGACTGCAGCGCCACCATCTGGTCGCCTTCCTGCCTGCTCAACCTTTGTGGTGGGAGTGAATACGATCCAATAACCCCTCAGAATCGGTCTCTCTCTGTCTAGTCGCAGAGTAGTAGATAATAGTTTGGTCATACTCAAGAACCTCCCACAGTGTGGTTTTAGCGCCCTCTGGGTAAGTCCCACTACACCAAAATAGAAACAGCTCAACCTTGGATACTGACTGGAGCTCATCTCAGCACGGGCTGGATCCCTGGGGTTGCTGTCTGACGATATATGCTACAAGCAGTGTTGTCCCTGCTATGATTACATTGACCCCTCTTCATCCCTTCACCAAGTTCGTGAGGTGGATTGAAGGGGCATTTACCATACTCAGGTACGGCTGATTACATACTTCCACACTCCATACCAAGTGCTGTCCGTGACGGGCGACAGATGAAGCAGCCCCTGTCTCACCGCCTGCTCAAGGTGGGCATCCCATTTCCCGGCTCCAACCAGGGTCAACCAGTGTGAGTCTGAGGATGGAGATGGGATCCACCCATCTGTCATCTTGTCCAAATTCCCAACCTTCCTCGACTTTCTGATCAGGGAATAGATCGAGCGGGCCCCATGGATCCCTCGGGTCTCAAAAAACCCCCTGTCAAATTTCTTTCTGCAGAAAAACATCTTATCACTTACCGCCCGGTTGATAACTAACTAGTACACTGGTATTAGTCTTCACACTATCCATACCTAGCTACCAACCGACAGAAGACTGCTGATAGACGTATTGATTGGCATGGAATTGTACTACTGTAAAATCTCCCACTCTGGTCAGCAGTCCAGGCATACAAACGCATCCGATAGAAGATGCTCAATGCAAGCAATATCCATGGTTGTTATGCAGCTGCAGTAACAGCGGCACATCAAAGCGACGAACTGGTATCATAGTTACATACATCTAGTACGGAGTAATAGCGACCCCTTGAAGGGCACTCTTGAAACGTGAGGTTTACAGCCTGGTTTCTGCCAGTACAAATCAGCTGTCCCTCATATTGGTAGGCCTTCTTAGAGGGAACCTTCCTATAAGAGAAACCCACCGTGTTTCTTTTTGATATATTTCTTCCCTTTTTTTCAAACAAGAAAACATCCAAGTCCCTCCTTACTTTCCAATTTCATTCTTCCCTCCAGGACTCCAGGAGCGGTTCAGAATATTTCAGCCCCGCCCAAACAAAGCCCCAGCCATCTGATATCTAAGTGGTGGAGTACCACTCCCGTGCCGCCCACCTTTCAACCTAACCGAAGGGCGCAAGATACCCTGTATGGTAATCTATACAGAACGGAAAGCGGTGCAACAGGCGGTGAGGGTATCCACGTGACCCGTCCCTAGCGGGCAAAGCAGCAACATTGCAAGCGCATAGGGGGGGGGAAAGAGAGGAGGGGGAAAAGAGAGAGAGAGAGAGGGGGCAGCAGCAGACAAGACAGCAACAAATTCCCCAGCAAGCACTCACTCCCCTAAACAACGCGATTTGCTTGATTCTCCCTCTCGCACTCTCTCTCTCCCTCCCCCTCTCTTCCTCTTTCTCAGTTCCTTCTGTGTTGGCTTTCAATCCCTCCATCTTTTTCCCTTCCTCCTCCTTTCCCCTTCCTTTCTTTTTTGTTGTGGTGTGTCTTTTCCCTTCTTTACCCGTTGGTCCCTCGACATCTCCGATCCTGCGTAACTGGATCGAACCTTCTATCGGAACCCTCTACGTCCAAAGGGATCAGGAATGGTTGTGGTCTCTGCCAGTGTACTACGTCGCCGCTTGTTGGTCTCACTTTGAGCTCCAACCAACCCTGACCTGTCTGCTTGCCTCGACACGGGCGCTTGCGCAGTTCCTCTTCATTGTTCACAGTTTCTTTTCCATTTAATCGGATGCTGGGCGAATGATCAACACATAGATCGCTCACGCGCTTCGACTCGTCTTTTTTTTCCCCTAGAGTGACCAGAATTTCCCCGCAAGTTTCATCTCTACATGGCGTGAGGTGAGTTAGTTACTCCGGCAGGGCCAAAACCCAGCCCCGCGCAAAAAAAATACAAAAATAAAAATAAATAAAAGGGAAAAATAGAACGAAGGGTCAACTCGGTCATCTAACTCACCATTATTCCCCTCTTAGGACGCACTAATAAATTCGATCTCTGCTTCGGTGTCCGCGACCTCATACACCACCAATAAACCCCTCGAAAATTCGTGCGATACGCCCATCGCCATCCCCAGCGATATACTTGACCCCCGATCGATCTTTGGCGGCAACACGCACACCGAATTCCACTACATCTCGAGCATCACCCCCCACGCCCTCCTCCGGATAGAGAACCGGATCGATATCCACCTCCAGGATCATCCTCCGGTCGCTGATTTGATAGAAAAGGCATAGTTCCCCACGGACATGCCTCCCGGCGACGTTCCCTTACCAGACAGCCTCGTGCCGGGCAACGGGGCTGTCCGTCCAACCCTGAACACCAGTGGATTTGGTGGCAGCTATCAGAAGCAAACTCCGACGTCCCCAGCTGATAGCAATGTTCCTTTCGACTCCCCGCGAACGTACTCGGCGCCGAGGTCCGCATCGACGAACAGTCCCATCGATGGGTCTCTCAACCACGATCACCGTGTCAGCCGACGGTATGAGCCACACCCGGGGGCCTCCCGGGATCCCTCGACCCCCCGCGATCATGGGGGCTATTGGGAACGATCGGCCCCCCGAGATCTGTCTCGTCCCAACGGGCGGCCGCCGGCGGGCACCTCTCGGATCTGCAAGAAGTGCGGCGAGCCCCTAACCGGTCAATTTGTGCGAGCGTTGCTGGCCACATACCACCTGGAGTGTTTCAAGTGCGAGGTAGGTGACGACTGCGGTCTGGCATGTTGACAGGGGATGTCCTCGGCTAACTCTGCGACGGCGTAGGACTGCGGCCAAATCGTGGCATCCAAGTTTTTCCCGATCGACGCGGAAGATGGCAGTGGACAGTACCCGTTGTGCGAGATTGATTATTTCCGCCGGCTCGATCTACTCTGCCACGAATGCGGCGGGGCCCTGCGCGGCTCGTATATTACCGCTCTCGACCGCAAGTATCACATTGAGCATTTTACTTGTTCGGTCTGTCCCACGGTCTTTGGTGCACAGGATTCCTACTATGAACATGAAGGCAAAGTCTACTGTCACTTCCACTACTCAACCCAGTTCGCTCAGCGATGCCACGGCTGCCACACGGCAATTTTGAAGCAGTTCGTGGAGATTTTCCGCAATGGCCAAAACCAACATTGGCACCCGGAGTGTTATATGATCCACAAATTCTGGAATGTCCGCCTAGCCCCGGCGGGACAGCCTCTCGAACCGCCACAGCTCGATCTCGACGCAACGGACGAAGAACGCAACCGGGTCCGCGAGGAGGAGGACGTCATGGAGGACAAGGTCTACAAGATCTGGAGCATCTTGTCTACCTTCGAGGAGTCTTCTGCGGCCTGCATCTCGGACATGCTCCTCCACGTGAGTAATGGTACTTATTTAGATGGAGTCCTCGTCGCCAAGCGATTCATCGGGCATGTGCATGTGCTCTTCTCCGCTATCGATGAGCTCGCAGGATACATCAAGAGCCAAGGGATGAAGGGTAAGCGTTCCCCCCGACGGTGGGATTTGGACACGTGGTTTGACTGATCATCGGTGTTAGACCTCGCCTATGGGCGCGAATCGAAACTGCTGTGCAAGAAGATTGTTGCCTTTTTCGCGTTGCTATCCAAGACGCAGGAGACTGGCGTCCGCAAGCTGGGCGTGACCCAGGAGCTCCTGTCGTTGGTGACCGGCTTGGCTCACTATCTCAAACTTCTGATTCGCATTGGCCTCCAGGGTGCTCTCAAACTAGAGAGAGAGAAGCGGTCGCCTACGGGTCTCCATCACTTTCTGGACCACCTTGGAGATATAGAAGCCCTTCGGCCTCTTGAGGAGGAAACGACCGCTGAGGATCTCATGGCAGGCGTCGAGGTTCTTGCTGACCAACTATCGGACTGCTGTGCGTCGTGCAAGGAGCCCATTGACGACGAATGCGTCGTGTTGGGAGACAGGCGATGGCACATCAAACCGCCTCATCTGGTTTGTGCTGGATGTGAAAGGGAGCTGACCGCCACGCCTCAAGACGCCCTGTGGAGCAGCAAGGAGAGGCGAGTTTTCTGCAATAGCTGCACTGCGCAGAAGGGCACGCTGAACGAGGCGCAGAGCGGGTTCATTCGGGTCAGTAAACTTCAGCAATTTGTGTTCCTGCTGAGAGTTGCTCTTGCTCGCCTCCTTGCCGTCTTGCGGGCGGGCGGGACGTTGCCTCTGCCTGGTGACCCCGCTGTCAAGCCCCAAGACGGTCAGCGAGTTGCGCCGGGTGGTGAGCTCAAGCGGTCCGCAACCAAGTCCAAGGTTCACTCCGCGGCGGGCAGAGATGGCTCTGAAGAATCTTCCCTCGAGCAAACAGTGGGTGAAATGCGACGCTTGCGGTCGATCCGGAACGAACGCACCTTGTCCACCACCTACCGAAAAGCTCGGGCGTCGCGAATTATCGATGGTCCTGAAGGGCGGAGTGTCCGCCCCGGCTCGTCCGGTGGTGAGGGCTCGGACCCGCGCGGCCCGGGCTTCCAAATCGTCGAAGAACGGGATGCCAACGGAGAGACCGTGACCGAGCTCGCATTCGGCAACCAGGATGCTCTCACCTTGGATGACATTCCGAGGATCGTGGCTGCCGAACAGGCTAAGGAGCAGCGCCCCAACGCTTATAAGCATGCTGGCACCAAGCTCGTTGGGACCACCGAACCCCTTCCCAGATACAAACAAGGCCACCAGCGTGGTGTATCGGGGGCTGGTTTGGAACAAGTCCTTGAAAAAGCCAGTGGCAGGTCGAAGAGATACTTCTCCGAACTCTCGGCCTTAGAATTCTTCATTGTCCGACACGTCGCGGTTTTATCCATGGAACCCTTGCTGGACGGTGCCTTCTCATTAGAGGAACTTCTTTCGTTGATCGAATCTCGCAAGCCTACCATCTGGAACATCTTTGGACGCGCCTTCAATAAGGAACCCAAGAAGGTAGGGAAGAAGAAGGGAGTATTCGGTGTCGCCCTGGACTATCTCGTCGAGAAGGAGGGTACTGAGTCCAGCCATGGTGTTGGTCCCGGTGCATTGCGCGTACCTGCTCTGATCGACGACTCTGTGTCTGCTATGCGGCAAATGGATATGTCTGTGGAGGGTGTTTTCCGAAAGAACGGGAACATCAGACGCCTCAAAGACACATCCGAAGCAATCGACAATCGGTACGACCAAGTCGACCTGACCAAAGAAAATCCCGTTCAGATTGCCGCTCTCCTGAAGAAATTCCTCCGTGAGATGCCGGATCCGCTCCTAACCTTCAAACTCCATCGCCTCTTTGTCGCCTCGCAGAGTAAGTCACAGCTTGTTCATGATCCAAATATCGGTATGGTTTGCTGACTGGGTCATTACAGAAATTGCCGATGCCGACAAACAGAAACGCGTCTTACACCTCACGTGCTGCTTGCTTCCTCGGGCCCACCGAGACACGATGGAGGTCCTGTTTGCCTTCCTCAATTGGGCGTCATCTTTCTCCCATGTCGACGAGGAGTCGGGTAGCAAGATGGACATTCACAACCTTGCGACCGTCATGACGCCGAATATCCTCTATCCCAACACGAAGAATAGCACCGTGGACGAGAGTTTCCTCTCGATCGAGGCGGTCAATGCCCTCATCACGTATAATGACACCATGTGCGAGGTAAGTGATGTCTTGGTTCTTCCGCTGGGTGTGTTGACTAATACTGACATCCGTTTCTTCTGTCATCTAGATTCCCGAAGATCTGCAGTCAGTCCTGAGCGACCCCAGCCTCTTCAAAGAAAACTCGGAGGTCACCACCAAAGATATCCTCAAGCGGTATGGTGACATCGCGCGAGGGAGCTTTTCCCCGAACCCCGCCAACGGCGGCGAAACCGTCACCATCACGAACAGCAACAGCCGGGGAGCGAATGCACCTACCTCGGCACGCATCGAGGGTGATCCCTCTCAGGATGCGGCCTGGCAAATGCAAAGCTCTGTCCGCCATGTACAGGGTGCTGGTGGGCACAACCAGCCTGCTGGCGCTCCGCAGAATGCGGGAGGAGAGCTTGTGGCAGGGCAGCCAAATAATTATCGCGAGCGTAGCACCAGCAGTGGCAGTCAGCAGAACCCCGTTCAATCCGATGGACAACAGATACCATACCGGGCCCGTCCGAGTGCAGGGCCGATGGGAGTTGCTGGTTGAGCATTTTTCCTGTCTTCTTTCTTCTCCAACTTTTTTTTTGCTCTTTTACCTTTTTCTTTTCTTTTTTTGCAATCACCAAAATACCCTTCTTTCTTGCACAGTTCCGAACACATTTTTCTTCTCAGATCAGTCCCTAATTCTTATCTTTTGATCATTTTGAACTCCGAATGAATGCTATTGGCGTATAACTGGGCCGTTCAGCGATTTCTTCTTCATTATTTTGACGTTGGTTGAACGGAGTTGATGCACGTTGGGACTGGATTGAATTTGTCCAGAGAACTAGGACATGCATATCTTCCATCTTCTCCAATGAGGTGGTAGCAACTCCATCATCGCTTTCCTTGTCTCTGCCCCCCTCTGACTGCCGCGGTGGGGGGTGAAATGCAGATGGCCACGAGGCTGGGTAACTCGAGGTTCTGTTTCCTTAACGGCTTTGTATGATTTGGCCAAGGGTTTGGGTATCAAGGTTCCTGTCCATCGCGCACTTAATCTGTGAAATTTGGGTAGTTATTCTCCTTCTACCATCATCCCATTAGTTGGCATCTCGCTCATCCCTTACTGTTTTTTCATCCACTTGTATCCGCTTCTTGCGGCCTTGTCTAGAGGCTTCCTTTTTTTTCTTTTCTTCTCCTGTGCCATTGATTGTGATGTGAAACCATCCCAGTTAGCTGTACCATTTCTTCCTCTTTTTTTGTTTGAATTCCCAGCCAGTCCAGTCCGTTGGACTGCGAAGATACCTGAATTGAGTCATAATTTTCTTTCTTCTTTTCTTCTTGTCATCCATTGGGCCTATCCGTCCATGGCTTTCTACTCATTAATTTTATCCTATCCTATCCCACTACTACTACTACTACTACTACTACTACTACTACTACTACTACTACTACTACTACTACTACTACTACTACTACTACCACTATATACAACTACCACTACATACAACTACGACAATCACATCTCTCAACAAATTCTGACTCTGATTCTTCTCTATCTATCATCCACCTCCCTGACAGACCCTCACGAAGCTAGCCCCTTGTCCCGACCATGTTGTCTATGCCATCCATGTTATGTTACATAGGCGATGGGCAGGTGGTGGTAGCGGTGGCGGGAATGTAAATTGAGTATAGTAAACCCTGCAGCTGCTGTCTGAATGAATAAATGAATAAATGAATCAGTCAATCGATCAATCAATCAACCAACCAATCAAAGCGAGAGAAAGCAAGTTGTTTTTGCTTTTGTTTGTTGTTTTGGTGCTTTGTTTTGTTGGTAGATTTGGTAAATAGTAGTGTGTGTGGGTTGGTGGGTGGAGAGATGGTGGATATATATTTATTTCATGGTTCATTAGGGACAAGAGGCAAAAACTGCGGATTGATTACTACGGATTATCACTTACTTGACGAACTCTCACAGTTTAGAACGCGACAATGATTTGTTGTTTTACTATGAGTAAATTGTATTGTATATATCAGAGCACGGTGAAGCTATCTTATCTACTTTGTCATGTAGGGAAGTTGTGTATTGGGATTTAGTCCAATTGTGTAGAGTAGATTAGACTAACAGCGTAATAAGACTTAATTGACATCAACAATGGAATCAAACAACTTGTATGCAAAAGTAGAAGAAAATCAACATGCACCGATAGCTTAGACGACAAATGCAACTGTATAAAAACGCCAGTCCTAGTCACCTCCCCTAATCTGTAGAAACCTGAGTACGCCGATTTGCAAAAAGTGATCAAAAGTCACAGATAAAATGATTTCAAGCCCGCTTCCGCAGGGCACGTTGCTTGGTTGCCGGTGCGTCGGCCGTGGTCGATGTGGTCGCTTTCCGGGTCGTCGATGCGGCGTTTTTCTTGGTTGCGGCTAAGGCGCCCTGATTTCGAGCTACTGTGGTCTTCTTGGCGGGGGAGTTCACGGCGGGCGCTGCGGTGGCTTTGCGGGCACCTGTGCCTGTCTTGGTTGGCTTGGCGACGGTGGCGGTGGATGAGGTGGATGAGACACTGCCGCGGCGCTCGAGCTGTCGGGTGGCTGGTCGGGATAGCGGCGAGCGCATCGCTCTGGAGGTGGCGCCGGCGCGACTGCCGGGTCGTGCGGCCTGCGAAGGGGGGCGGCTGCTGGTCGTGGATGGGACGCCCCGGGTTGCTCGAGCACGGGCGCCGCTTGCTGGCCCGGACATGCTGGCTGAGGTCGACTTGAGTGGGCTGGAGGGCTTCAGCGGCGACATGGGTCGGGAGAGGTAGGATGCATTTTGGGGCTTTTCGGGGGACGCCCGGAGCGGGGATTGCGGATAGGTCCTGGAGTTGTTGGATTTGGGCGACAAGATCCGGTAGTCGGTCCCGCGGACCTCCTGTGAGACAACACGCGAGGCACCGCCCGCAGCGCCGGGCTTGCCGCGCCGCTTGGGGTTCTTCAGGACGTCGAGAGATCCGCCCGTTGCCGGGGCGTTTTCCTTGTCAGAGTAGATGCCTCCCTCGTGACTGCAGCTCATGTCAGCAATGTTGTTGTAGTTGCAGTCAATTGGGCGTACCTTTGTTTGCGGACTCGACGGGCGCCTGGGCTGGCCGTCAGGGCTCTTTGTTTTCCAGGGCTGGTCATGGCAGCCACATTCCGCGGCGCTTTGCCCGGGCTGAGCAATTTCTTGGGCGAGGTGGCCCCCTGTTGCGCCCGGAGAGCGGATTGGTGTTTCTCCCACAGCTCACCCATGTTGGCGTTGCGCAGGGCGATAGGGATGCGGTTGATGCGACGTTCGACGCGAGCACGGAGATCATTGGTCTGGAGGGCGTATTGTGCGCGAAGTTTGCGGGCGCGTTCGGTGACTGATCACGTCAATGGGTGGAGGACAGGGTTGGGGGTGGGAAACATACTTTCTAGCTGGAGGTTGTCAATAAGGGCCTGTTTTTGACTGCGCGTGATCCGAAGCTTTTTACTGGGAGGGCTGCCGGTGGGCGTTCTGATGTCGTGGGACGCGTCGTCCTCGGGGGACTTGCGTTTGGCGTTGAGGGAGACCATTGGTGGAATGAAAAATCGACGATATGGAGCTCAAGATTATATAAGAGCCTAGCAGTTTATTTAAGTTCGAGAGAAGGGACTTGTGATGGCGATAGAAAGAGTGGAGGAAGTAAAGGGAGATGGAGAGAGAGAGAGAGAGAGAAGGCGGCAATAAAGTAAACAAATGACCGAGACGGAAAGAGAAGTGAGTGGGCGGGCGGTGACATAACCTCCCTCTCGCTCCGTTTCGTCAACCACGAACCTCACTTCCTCAACGACTTTCCCATCCTCATTCTCCCCCATCATCTCCGCCATCTCCATCTAGCTCTGACCACCTTTCCAGAGCTTCTTACTACCATAGTCAACCTTCACTCGAAATCTTGAACACATTCCTCCCACCCCTCCAGCCGATCGAGCTATCCACACCCGCCAAGATGTCGCTCGAAGCCACCATGATCATGTCCGTCCCCGACTCTTCAACCCATCCCCATCTCACAAATCCCTCTAACCTCATAAATACAGTGTCGACAATAGCGAAAGCAGTCGAAATGGCGATTACACGTGAGTAACTCGACGTCGACATTCATTCCCGTCCCCATCTGACAGCCGCAGCTCGACCCGATGGCAAGCACAGATCGACGCCGTCAGCGTCATCCACACCGCCAAGATGCGCGTACATCCGCAATCAGCCGTCGGTCTGATGAGTATGGGCGGCAAGGGCCCGGAGGTTCTGTCGACGTTCACTACGGACTTTGGCGGCATTCTGTCAGGACTGCACCGGACTAAGATCCACGGCACGCCGCACCTGAGCTCGAGCATCCAAGTTGCCGGCGTACGTTTGATGCCCCTTCTGAACGAAAGAATTCTTTCCAAATCACGCATCGTTTACTTACGAGAAAAACAAAATGACAGCTCGCCCTGAAACACCGCTCCGAGAAATCCCAACACCAGCGCATCATCGTATTCTCCTGCTCGCCCATCGAAGAAGACGAAAAGACGCTGGTGAAGCTCGCCAAGAAGATGAAAAAGAATAACGTATCGATCGACGTCATCGCCTTCGGCGACCTCGAGTCCGACCAGACCAAGAAGCTGGAAGCCTTCGTCGAGAACGTCCGCGGCGGCGACGGCTCCCACCTGGCCATCATCCCGCCGGGGCCGAACCTGCTCAGCGAGGAGCTGCAGCTGACGCCCATCCTGGGAGGCGACGCCGGCGCTGGCGGCGCGGGCGGCGAGGGCGAGGAGGCCGGCGGGTTTGGGTTCGAGGACGCCGCTGAGAATGATCCCGAGTTGGCGTTTGCGCTGCGTCTGTCTCTGGAGGAGGAGAAGAACCGCCAGGAGAAGGAGAAGCGGGATCAGGAGGAGAAGGAGGGGAAGACTGATTTGGATGGGATCCCTGAGGAGGGGGGGCAGTCGTCCTCTGGTGGGAAGGGCAAGAAGGATGATGGGGATAAGATGGATACTGCTTAGTTATTTAATGGAAGCATACCCGGCGTTTCTTTCTGTTCATTTGTCCTTTTGGTTGGTTGAACTGCACTGAAGCTTGTCTCTGTGCTCGCTTTGGAATGAAAATCCGACAAATAAGATAAAAATATAAATAAATATAAGATAAGACGACACTAGAAATTAAACCTATACAAGTAATAAACAATCACCCATCCCACCCCGGCCAAAAAGGAAAGCACAGAGAAAGAAGAACAGGTCCAACCAAAGAATAAGAAATCCCCGCAATCAAGGAGAAAAGGCTAAACCCTCCCCCTCAACCACCCCCCAAGATGCCTATCAAACGCCTCACACCTCACCGGCATCTCCAACTGATAAAACGGATTCTTCATCACAAAGTCCGCATAAAGCTCATAGATCTTCCTGATGACAGGCTCCACACTCGTCATGAGCGGGTCCGTGAACAGCAGGAACTTCGTCCCTGTGAGCGTCTGGAAGCAGGTGAGGCGGAATTTGTCGGACTCGAGGACTTCGAGGCCTGTGACGGGGGTGCCGGGGATGGGGAGGGCGTGGGTTGTTGATGTTGACGTTGTTGATGAGGGGCCGGTGGGTGTTGAGGGGGTAGATGTCGAGATTGAGGGGCTGGGTTTGTGGGTTGTGAGGATTGAGGAGGTGGAGGGTTGTTGCTGGTGGCCACTGCTGGGGATGGTGTTGGGGTTGGTGGGGAGGGGGATTTTGGGGGTGATGCTGCGGGTGATTGCGTGGACTCTATTCGTTTATGATTTCGTTAGAATTGGTTCTGTTCAAGTTGTTGTAGTTAGGGGTAGGATGGGAGTAGTAGTTGGTGTCGATGTTTGGGGGTCTATAGAGAAAGTAAAGGTATAGAAAGGAGACAAACCCATGAAACGTCCCCGCAAGAACCAAATAATCATTCGTCGACAGCTTTCGCAAACCGGGCTGGAACTCGCGCTGATAGACAAGACCGCCAGCTTTGTTGATGATGATGAGAGAGAATACCGTCCTGTATCTTGTTGGAACACTCCTTTTCATTGTATCATCTCGAGGGGTACGTACATGATTGCGGTGTATTATGTGTATGATTGATCGGAGGGAAGACGAATTAGAGGGGTGGTTGGTTGGTGGGATGATTGTCGCGGAGATCGGATGGTCGGGTTGGATATTGGGTGTAGCTGGTTGGTACTGTAGTAGTCATGTATTCATTGTCGTTCGTGAGGAGGGGTGGTTTGCCATAGTTGATTGTAGATATACAGGCAAGGTGGATGTGATGTGCTGCGGAGTGTTGACGATGGGGGCTATTCTGCCGGTGTGGAGTTGGCTGTTTACACCGCCCTCATGCTGGATTGCTGTAGTGGTGTGTGGATGAGGTCGGTGCAACGTCCGCCTAGGACACTGGCTGCTTAGATGTCAATACGCTCAAAGGATGGCGATGATCTAATTGTGGCTCCATCTTGGCCCATCCTCCATACTAGCCACCTACTCAGCAGAGATTTCAATTTACAGAAGAAAACAGTTTGTCAGTCATAAATTCTATATCATGTCTCCGGGTATTATGCGCGTATAAATAATCCAACCATGGTCGAGACCAAGCTATTATATCAAGTACAGGATATCGAATAAAATCAAGTCATCACGTCGTCAATTCGTTGTCTGCCACGCAGACCCATTAAAAGGAAATAACCGAAGAAAAGGAAGGCCAAGGGGAAGAAAAAGGAAAGATAAGACAAAGGAAAGATAAGACAAAGGAAAAAAAGAAAATAAAAAAATCACTTCATGTCAGACGTCAACCGCCACTGTCCTCTCACGGTTTCAATGACACCCTCCTCGATCGCCCACTGGCGCAGCGCAGGGTCCTCCTGCTCAGCATGGGGATGGAAGTCGCCTTTCTCAAAGTGTCGGCCCACGTGCTCCATGCGGTCGTTCCAGCTCAGATGGCCCGAGAACTGATGCCCGCAGAAGCCGCAGCGGCTGCTTTCGGGCGCCGTGCGCTGCTGCTGCCAGCATCGGTCGCGGACGCCCTCGAGGGTCTCTTCGAACGCCTGGCGCTCGTCGCTGGCAACGGGCTGCTTGCTGTTGCGGGTGACCCAGGGGCTGTGCATGCGGCGCTGGTGCTGGGTGAAGAGGTCCTTGCGGTTGAAGTCGTTGGACAGGCGGGATTCGTCGCCGGAGGTGCCGCGCGCGGATGCTAGCTTGCGCAGGTTGTTGGTGTTGCAGCGGCCGACGTCGCATCGGTAGAAGCCCACCTTGACGTGCTGCGAGGATACATGTCGCTTCCACTCGTTCTTGGAGGTGAAGGTGCTGCGGCAGCCGTAGTGCGAGAAGCTGCAGATGAAAATGCGGCTGGGTGTGCTGCTGCCCTTTTTACCTCGCGGCTTGGCAACGGAGCGCGAGGCAGATCCGGTCATCTGGGCGGGGTCCTTGCGGGAAGTGATGTCCTTCACCACGCCACCAGAGGAGCGTTTGGACTTCTGGCGGCGCGGTGGTGATTGGCTTGGTGGTGGAGAGGCAAGATCATCCGTGTCGTGCTCGGGAACGAGTTCCAGGACGGGAAGCTGGTGCTCCTCCGGGTGGGTTGCCGTGGGATAGACCAACGCCGGGGGCGTGTCGCGCATGAGAGGCACCGGATGGGCCTCCATGCTCACAATGGGTTCCGGATCGGGGTAGTAGACCTGCGCCGGGGACACGGATGGGTAGCTGCTAGCGACGGGCGACGGGCACCCCCAGTGGTCCGGAACTTGCAGCATGGCGTCGTCGCTGGTGTACGGGGGTGACATGTAGCAAGGGGCACCGCCGACCCAGCTGCCGCTGGTGCTGCGCGGACTATCGGCGCCGGAGGTGGTGGATAGATCGGAGCCCCAAGAGGAATAATCGGACATGGGCGCCGGCTTCCCGTGCGGCAGCCCGTGCGGCAGCCCCGTCGAGCCGTACCAGGGGGCCGGAGAAAGGAAGGGGCTTTTGGGAGGAGCATCCAAGGGGTACAGCTGCTTCTGAGGATGGATGTAAGAGGCGTCGGGCCAGGGACCCGCGTAAGCGCGCGATTCCGGCGGGAAGAGCTCATAGTCCTGCACGGGCGAGCCGTCTTCGATGCGCGGATAGTCCGCAAAGACGGGGGTGGAGGGGAATCGCTCCATGGTTGAAATATAGATACCGGATGGAATGGAGGATCCAGAAATGCAAGGAACTGGGAGAAGGAAGAATGAAAAACGGTTGAATTAAATCGCGATTCCCACGGCAGGGTCAACGTATATAAAACCAAGCATGGCTTGGCGGGGCCAGTATAGCTGGGGCCAAAGGGCCCTGCTCGGTCCTCTTCCCACGAGGGAGACAACAGCCAGGCGAATTTTGAGCCGCATACTTCCCGAGCCAAAACGATCGGCAGAGTTGATGCGTCAGTCACGACGCTAAATGGATTGGTTGGTGTTAGCGAGAGCATCCCCGTCACGAACACGACCAGCAGTGCCCCCTGCAGCGCCCATTCTCCTGTCCCCCTTTTCTTTGTTTTTCCTTTTGATTATTTTTCCCCTTCTTTTTTTTTGATTATTTTCTTTTCCCTTTTGTTTTTGATTTTTTATTATTATTGTTGAATAATAATAATAATTTCAGTTCCACCAACTGTCCATGGAGAATAATCCCCAAGATCAAAACGGTCAGACCCGTACCCGGTAGAGTCAAGCTTGGCGAATCAACCACCCAGTCTGATAGGTCGTATAATTCCTCACTATACGGAGTACTTCTTCACAACCCGTGCATCAGTCCGTAGACGAGAGAAATCAACGGAGCGGACAAATTCCACAGTGCCCATTTGAGCCGCAAGATTGGCAACCAGACGACAGGGCATACGACCCTCCTCATGCCCGACTTTGACAAAAACGATGACGATCCATGTACGGGTTGCGAGGGCGGAGTCATGTCTGGTCTTGGTCTTGCCCTGGGCAGTGGTACCCCAGGGCCCTAGTTTGTTGTCGGGGGTAGAAGAGGGAGGGGGGGAAAAGGGTGCTCTCCACCAGTTAGAGGTCAGAAGATTGATGGACTGCAGAACTCAGCCGCTTGCCCAAAGCAAATTGGAATCCAAGTGGGAGAAGTGGACGGAGAGTGGACGGAGAGTGGACAGGGAGTGGACAGGGAGGGGGAGATGGGGGACTCCCACCGGTCTGGTTGGGTGAGAGAGATGCAAGAGGGTGCAAGAGGTCCAAGCCTCATTCGTGGTTAGATTACCCGAGAGGCGGTCAGTCCGGGAGCGGGTCATGATTCAGTGGGGGCCAAACTGTCTATCCTCTTAGCATGGAGTACCCTACATGGACTAGCAGTAGTTGGTAGTTGGGACCCCTACTACTACGACCGGGGCTACCATCTGGTCTTGACTCAGGCATTCTGCCTTGACTGATCCCGCTCGCTGCGCCGCAGTCTGCCGGATTAGAAGATCATTGGGTAGAGATCAATTCCCCTTTTGGGCGATGGGCAGGGGTCGAGAATCCGACACTTGGACCTTTGACGATTACTTTTGATTTTCTCATTTTTTCATGGAAGAATTGTTTTCTCAACTACAGTGGGTATTTCAATCATTATCTATGTTCCCAGAATTGTTCTTTTTAAAAATCCAAAAAGGATACCAGCAGGTTGAAGGATCACCTAGCAAACGATGGATGAAGTATGTATACGGATAGGGCACAATGACTGGATTCTAGCCCCCGTCTAGATCAACTGACCATAACCAACCCTGAAGGTGATGATCCAACGCCAAGTCATAGCACAGTTCACCCCTATTTTGCCCTTGCCCTGTTGCCCAAAGAATTAAAAATAAAACAATAATACGGAAAGAAAGTTAGAAATGTCCCCATTCCCCACTACTTGCCGTTCACTTGTCACTGTCAGCCTCCGGCCCCGCTGCCGCGGTATGACCTTTACCCGTCTGGGGATAGGTGGGACTCCGTTGGCATGATGTCAATAATGCCGAACAAACCCACTCTCCTTCTAACCGACTAGTTGGTAGTTTTGATAGTAAAGACTAGACTGGAAGACAAGTCTTGGTCTATAGCCCTAATAATGAATTGATTTGAGTTTATCCCTGCAGGAATCAGCCAGTGCACTGACCTGAGACTACTGGTTTGACCGTCCTGCCCTATATGAGGCCCGTTGAGTTATCACCGGTTTTCTCCAGAGTACGGCAGGATCCTGGTCTTGAGTTTATTGAGCTGACAGTCACGGAGTCCCCGATGATTGGGATCCTTTCTCCTTTTATTTACTTATCTATTTATCATATTTTATTTATTTCTAATCAATATGATGATCCATTGAGCAATAATAATCATAATAATAAACTAACCCAATAGTGAATCCACTATTCAACCTGAACCCTCTAGTTCTAACCGCTTCCAAACGACATGACACGACCCACTTTAACTTACCAGCTGCAAGTCAAAGTCAGATAGAGAGTCCAGACTCCAGACTGATTGAATCCAGAGCCAAATCCATCCATCCATAATCAGGACTCACCTGCATACAGCCCGGAGAGCCACCTGTAACCCAGAACCCTACGCTGTAAATACACACACTAAAGAATGAATACGATGGAGCCAATCATTCTCTTTCCTTGCATGCTTATTGTATAGTTTGGATGTGTTCAGCTGTCATACTCCTGGTAAGGTACAGTCTATTACTCAGGGACCCTGTTACTACATGGTAATGGGGAATCATTGGATATGATTCTACAGCATACTAGTTACTTCTTTGGATAGCCGAGGAGGAACTAAGTCTCCTCGTCTATAGAGATATATATAGGTGGATAGATAGATAGAGACGAATACGAACCAACCCAAATCCCATCCAGCGATGCTACCATTCAGCTTGAATAACAACACACACACAGACACACACAAACACACCGACAAAAACAGCCAACCCATGAACTAACCCCTCAGCCCCCATTGACCGGGTAGATAGATAAATAGATACCCAAGTACGAACTAACCCTCTCAGCTCAGATATAGTACCCCTCTACATCACGCCATAAACCCGTCCCCCATACCCATGCCAACATTAGATACATCTACCTGATTACCTACGGAGATCTCCGTATATCTCTTTTTCGGGTAGGTAAACAAATAATCGATCAATTTATCAACCCAGATCCCGTCCCTCCATTTCCTTCCCATCCCCTTACCTAGTACTGAATGGCTACTTTGTATTTACCCATCTCTTTTGTAGATACTGTGTGGTGCACAGCCCATCTCATTCCACCCCACTAAATCAGTAACGCACATGCATACCCCACGCATACAAACCACATCCCACACACACATGTCAGATAATTCTCCATACACATCCATAGGATAGCCAGTAAATCCATCCAGGGCAAACGCGCCCCATCAGCCACTTTCACCATCCCCATTCGCCATGCTCCAGTGGCTGTGTGAGTCGTGAGTCCCCGCCCTGACACTCGCCCTGACACTCGCCCTGACACTCGCCCTGGGCCTAAGCCTACGCCCGAGCTCGCCCTGAGCCCCAAGCAACACGACACGACACGGCTCAAGACGAATGAGACGAACGAAACCAGAAAAGCGGTGACGAGAGAAAGAAAGAAAAAGAGGGCTGTACAAGGTGGAGTCATGCGTCCATGCATCCATTAAGGTCCTAGTATTTCTCCAATTTGGGCTAACTAACCTATCTACTTGGGTGTCTGCTTCTGCTTACCCGCATAGTATGTTAATTAGTGGTGCTTACTTGCTTGCTTACATGCAGATGACATCAGAGCTTTATCTTCGTTCTAAGATTGTAAGAATTAGGAGGAGGGAAGGAGGGATGAGGGGAATGGGGAAGAAGAATAGCCACTTTGTGGATGGGGTGACTCTGGAGGTGGATGTGGGTCGGAGAATAAATCTTACTTGCTTCGCCTCGCGTGGTGGGACATATACTATACCGTCTGCATGCACTATCTCCTACTTAGGTAGGTCCCTGCTTACAGTAGGTAGGGCATAGGATATATGACAGTTGTGTCTAGTTTAGTGATCAAGAGTGTAGATGGACTGTATAACTAACACAACATCTCCCAACAGGATAAATATACCAAATTGAATAAACCACTCCACACCATCCACCCGCCCAACCCCCCCAAAAAGGCAATCTACTCTTTCTTCTCCTTATGCGACTTCTTTTTCGGCATCCGAATCAACCAATACAAGAACACAGCAGCGAAAGCATTAAACACCACATACACAAACAGCAGCCCCACATTGCGCCAGCGGTCATCATAATCGATGTTCAGACTCGCCAGGAACTGGTCCGTAAAGGACATCTGGCACAGCGAGCACATGTCTGTTGCGTCGGGGTCCACCAGCGTTGCCTTGGCGGCACTCACGTAATCGCCGAGGTACTTGCCGCAGGTTTGCCCTGCTGGAGGCGGCATGCGTAGCAGCTCGATGTCGGAGCATTGCACGCGGGTTTTGGCGAGACCTACGGAGAGGACGGCACTGACGAGGTAGGTGAAGGGCGAGACGCGGTACATGAAGATCCAGAAGCGGGGGAGGACGGTTGGACTTGCTAGGACGCTGTGGTTTTCAGTTAGTAAGAGGGGTGTTGGGAAGGGTATAAGAGGGGTTGACATACCCGTTGAAAATCAGACACAGCGAGAACATCAACTGCGCAATGTTACTACCTGTCTCGGGCTGCTCGATCCCCGCGATGATCATCGAGCTAAACGTCGAGGTGAACATCATGAAGATCAAGATCAGCAGGAACATGGTGCCGCCTCGTTGTGTCACCGTGTCGGTCATCTCTGCGTTGCGGTACAGCCCGATCGGATAGTACCAGGAGAAATACGCAGGTACCGCCATGAGGATGTTCCAGGGCAGCTCGACCAAGATGCTTGCCATCATGAAGGCCTTCCATGAATATGCCTTGGAGGGTCGCTCCCGCACCTCGTACAGCGCACGCTGCGTCACGAAGTAGGGCATCATTTGCTGGACCAGGTTGGGGAAGATAATCAGGAGCATGAAGATGGCGAACATTTGATCTTGCATGCCTTGGAGACTTGTGGGTTCTCGCCAGAAGGTGAATCCGATGAACAGGGGCTATATCCTCTGTTAGTGTTCCTCGTCAAAGGAGATGATTAGATAGACCTACCGGAATGATACACATCGCCGCTTTCGAGTAAATATAAGATGGACTACGCCAATACTGCTGGAACATGCGCTGGATGCAAACCAAGAACTGCGCATACAGCGGCATAGCAAACTCGCCATACTCAACCGTGCGCGGCGGCAGCGGTCGCTGCGACAGTTCCTGTTTCATCTGAGCCAGCTCTTGGCGGACTTGCTCGCGTTCGGGGCTGTTCTTCCACACTTCCGGCCAGTCCTGGTCGGCGTGAGACCCGGGCGCAGCCCCAATCACTTCCAGCATCCACTCGGCTGGGTTGGCGTTCCCGGGGCACTTGGAGGATCCCTTGGTCTCGAAATATTTGATCAGCGTGTTCATGTTCGTGCCCAGGTCTCCAAAGTATACGGTCCGTCCTCCCCGCGCTAAGAAAAGCAATCGGTCGAACTGTTGCATGAGCATCGCGGACGGCTGATGAATGGTGCACAGAATCGCTTGTCCATGGTCGGCTAACTTGCGCATCAGAGTGCAGATAGACCATGCCGTTTGACTGTCCAGACCTGACGTCGGCTCGTCAAAGAAGAGAAGCAGGTCCGGTTTGGCTGCAATCTCGACTCCGATTGTCAGTCGCTTTCGCTGCTCGACGTTCAATCCTTCGCCGAGCACGCCGACCACTGCTTCGGCATACTCTTCCATGTTCAACATCTTGATCACCTCTTCCACGTAGGCAACCTTTTCTCTACGCGGGATACTCGCTGGCTGACGGAGGGTGGCACTGAAAATCAGCGCCTCTCGCACAGTGCTTGTTTCCAAATGCAGATCCTGCTGCTGCACATAGCCAGTCTTGCGCTGGAACGAGTCGTCTCGTATACGCCCATCAACCAGCATCTCGCCCGTGACCACGCCCATGGTCACCCGATCCGCCAAAACGTCCAACAACGAGGTCTTTCCAGCTCCCGTCACACCCATCAAGGCAGTCAAAGTCCCCGGCTTCACCCACCCGTCGACGTGGTCCAGGATCTGACGATCCTCGCCCTTGATCTTGATATCGTAACAGACATCCTGCCAGTGAAAGATAGCTGTCTGCTTGACGATCGCAGCAGTGTGGTCATCGCTCTGACTGCCGACCTCTTGCTTCTCTGACGGCGATGCCCCTCCTTCCACATCCGTGTTCGAACGGATCTTTTTCGCAAATGCTGGGATCTTGCCCCGGGGGAATACCAGAATCTCACCCTTCGAGGGCTTTGCGCGAACCAATTCACTGCAGACGATATACGCCGCTAGGAAAAAGAAGAAGAACCCGAGAATGATACCGTAGTTTCGCCAGAGGTGGGACGGGTAATACTCGAACGAGGTCTCCAGATAGGTAGTACCTTGGATGAAATCGTCGCCGTGTTTCGCGCCCTTGCCTGCGCAGACTTTCGATTCCAGAGGAACATCACCATATCCAGGCCCGGAGGGCACATATAACGCGCAGTCAAACCTTCGATCGCTAAATTCATTGATCATCAGAGACTCGAACGCATAGGCGATGGGGTTCAAGTAGTTGAGCCATCGGAACCAGGGGTGCATGTTTCGAACGGGGATGGTAAATCCCGTGTATATAACCAGAATCATCATGAAGATTGAGGACGGAACCATTGCTTGGGCCATAGACCGGGAGATGGCTCCGATCCACCGGAAGATATTCGACATGGTTAGCGTTGTGGTGACCGAGAAGAGATAAAATATGAAGAAATGTGCGGGCGTTCGGCGAAGATTGGTCATAAAGTATATAATAAGATTGAAGACCACTGATACCAGAGCCTTGGCCGGCAAATCAACCAGCATGGAGCTGATGGCCTCTGCGGAGGGGTGATAGAGTGCGTATTTGTCGTGCTTCTCCACAATGGGTCGTTGTTGCCACAAGGTCAGGATCTCCAGTGAGCTGGAGAAGGCGTTCAACAGGATGGCAAAGAACAAGAGTGCGCCCCGGGAGAAGTAGCTTTCAGTCGTTTCGTCGAGATTATAGAAAACACTAGAGACGATAAACGCCATGGCGCTGTTTCCGATCACCGTGGCAAGGGTCATGCTCATGTCACCCTTGAGGCGTTGAAACCCGCGACGAAGACACAAGCGAATCTGCATCCAATACGACAATGTATACGGGGACTTGGCGCGTGCACCTTTTGCCTTTTCCGCCGCTCGAGAATGGGAGAACTCGTTGTATTTGTCGCCCCCCAGTGGAAATTCATTTTGGAATGCGTCGATCTCGAGGTGAAGATGCTGCCGCTCGGCACTATCCCTCCACCGCGCGGCAAATTCATCCGGCGTGCGGGGGACAAGATTCTCAAACCCGGGGCGGGCTGCGCGTTCTGTCGGGCTGGTCAGAGAAGTCAGAAAATCGGCCGTGGTCTGCCTTTCCGGGCAGTCGAAACCCATTTCGATGAAGAAGCGCCGGGCATCGGGGGCGTTGCCGAAATAGATCTGTCGGCCCTCATATAGGACGATCGCCTTGTCGAAGATGTCATATATAGCCTGGCTGGCTTGGTAGATGGCGACAACCGCTGTCGAACCGGTATACTCGGTGGACAACCGGAGGGTTTTGACGAACTCCAACGCGGTGGAGCTATCCAAGCCACGCGTACTGTTGTCCCAGCATTGCAGGGGACTTTTGCACAGGGTTGTCTCGGCGATACTCACTCGCTTCCGCTCGCCGCCCGACACGCCCCGGATGAACTCGTTGCCCACCTGGGTGTTCACGGTGTGACTCAATCCCAACATCGCCATCACAACGTCTCGCATGTGTACCGCATACTGCTCTCTACTCACTCCAGGGAAGCGATTGAGCGGGGCTCTCGCGTGGGCAGCGAAGAGAAGGGTCTCACCCGCGGTCAGCTGGGGGAAATGGATCTCCGTCTCTGCCTGGTAAATGACCTCCCCTCGGAATCGGCCATGCATCTCATCCCACGAGATGCCCTGATACTGGATATCGGTTCCTGGATCCAACCACAGACCATGGGTTTCTCCAGCAATGGTCTTGAGAAACGTTGAACAACCGCTACAGACGGTCAGAACCAAATGCCCCGCGACACTGTAAGGGGACCGGAGAGTGACCTACCTTCCCGGACGACCCAAAACCACAAGCATTTCTCCATTCCGCACGTAGCCCTCAAAGTTGCGCAGAATATCGATCCGGACTTTATTCCTCCACCCAAGCAAGCCACGAAGCCAGCCAACGCCCTTGAGCCACATGTTGCCCACATCGGCCTGGTAATCGGCCGCGGTCCCATATCCAAAAGCGCTGAGGTTGCGAAACGAGACGCCGGCGGTGCGACGCGGGTACCGTTCAGGGTCGCGCGAGGTGACCTGCAGGAGATTCTTGGTCCATTTGCGCGAGTTGAACTGGTCCGAGTGGGGGTCGAGTTCCGGATTTTCGCTGGGGTTCAGAAAGGTGTTGATACCGTCGCCAACGTCGTGGGAGAATTTGCGCGCCAGGGCTGCGATCTTGGGGTTGTCCTTGCTAATACCATTCTCCCACGACGTGTCCGAACTCTCTGCCTTGTCTCCGGCGGAAATCGTGATGCGGTCATCGTTCAACTCGTCGGTTCGTTCTCGCATCGAATTCTCGAATGCTAGCCCCGCGTTCGCTGAGAGGGCAGTTGTCCCGAAGGGAGCGGGAGGCGCAGGTTGAAGAACCATGGCAACGTCAGTGGAGACGAGCCCCGTGTGACATAGCCGTAATGGAGAACCGGATCGTAAGCCTGTGATCGGGCAGGCCTTAAGGGCTCAGCTTATAGAGGAAGGGAGAGAAAGATTGGAGGGGGTTGGCGTAGGTAAGTAATAGGAGGGAGGATTCGGGGATGGACAGATGTGCGGCGGGGGAAGATAAAGAAAATAAAGTACAAGAAAAAAAATTGATTCAAGAAAGGAACTAAGGATTAGTTAAAAGTCCCTAGCTATCATAATAATACCTCAAAATGACCCTGTCCAGCATCATCCTTCTTGCCGGCCTGATACCTAACTTACCTCCAGTCTGACCCCAAACCTTACTATTATGAGTTCCTGGACGGGAACCGGAACGAAGACATCCGAGCACAGCATAGACAACGAACCGATTCCGTATCGACCGTCGGACCATGGTACCTAATGAACCATCCACCTTTTGTCGTCGATCACATCCTCAAGACCGCGACAGATGAGACTTGCATTTTTGGGAAAGTCTAGAGCTTGGCATGGCCAGCAGGGAAAGAGGACAATCCAGTGAAAGGATCGTTACTTGCAGTGGAGTCGATCCGGGATAGGCGAAGAAACAAAGAACCTGCACAGGTAGAAGCGAAGTTGTCATGTTCTTCGCTAGGAGAGAAATCACCAATCAGTGGGTGTGGAATGTGGGGGATGAGAATTGTGTGGGGCGTTCAGTGGGGCCTATAAGGGCCCTGTGGAGCAGGATGGGAGAAGCCAGTGGGGGCCAGTGGGGGGCCTTGCTTCCCCGGGTTAAAGACCTCCAGGGTCACGCCCGTTGTCATGATTGATCAGGGCACCTTTGGGCCCGTCATTGGACGCGTATCCACCTCGTATTGATGGTCCCACCCTGCGTATAGAATTGTGTCTGCGAATACGTGATTTCAATATACCAGGTTACTTCCTATCGTGACAAGGAAATGTTTTTATATAATGATGAGGACAATTCATTATACAGATGAAACGCTAAGATACATCAGACCGAAGCAGACACGCATATAATAGCCGTGTCTGAGAAAATGAAACTTTATTCCCCGAGTCTATCCAGGTCACAGGTCACATGCTCTGGTGCGGCGGGTTTCTCCGGCTCACGGCTACTCCGTAACAATTCCGGCGTTGATGGTGTATTACGCAAAATGGTTTAACATGTCATTTCAGGTTCAACACTTCTCTGCGTGTTACTATCACTATGAATATTTCTATAACGCCTTCCTCCATCATTGCTCTAACTTTCATCTTTCCCCCCCTCGTTAACTCTTTCTGTCTCTGTTTCTACACCCTACAGGGAAGAAACACTGCCTGATAGAGACAACATGTGGATTTCTCGCGCGTCTGTCGTATGTGGTAGACGATCGGGCCACCGGGGAACACTCGACCCTCCATAGGCCTTGACTATTAATGAGTTGTCTTAGGAAGGCCGTCTCTTTGTACTTGCTGAGAAATCCATACACACAGCCTAGCATCTGCATGTACTTGATTGGCTGAGCGAGTATGTTCCTTAGCTCGTTCATGTCGTCGAGCTTATCGTCCAGGAAGTGCTCGCAAAGCCACGGTACCCTGAGCTCCCAGACGACCTTCAAAAAGTGATCATCATCCTCCAAGATCCCATCAGATGGGCCGGTGGAAGTAGATTGCACGCGATTAAGATCTGCAAAGCGTATTACCTTTGACTGCGATGTGAAGACAGTGTCAAGCACGTCGCCGAAGTATTTGTGAAACCAGCCTTGGACACCATGTTCGTCCCGAACCTCGAAGTTTTCGCAAGTATATGGGTCTCGTGTCTAAAGTATCAGGCCTAGGACCTCATTGCGCCAGGTATGGCTCTGGTGTGCGGTATGCACAGCGTGCAAAAAGCCCAGTCATGAGTCATGGCTGAAGATCACCAGTAAACTCAAGATCGTGTAGGGCACTCGACTGTGTGCGGTATAGGCCGGATTCAAGCTTAGGTGCCGGGGACTCGACTAACTTCTTCGGGACGATACGAAGCGCGGGACGAGGCATCTTGAGAGCTTTGTTTCTTTCTTGACGATGAAGGATATTAGTAACATCCTGAGAGCGCAGGCCATACTAACACAGATCACAGAATGTGCGTGCAGAGTATCGAGTGGGCAGCGAAAATTTAGCTTAAAGACTAAGAGCAGGGTTATTTCAAGCAGGGGAACAGTGAAGACTATGCAGGAGGTCGGTATCAGTCAATTAGAGCTTATTTTGACTAAATAGGAAGGACCGCGTATACCAGTACGAGGCACCTCACCAATTGAATATAACCCACATCACTATGAGAATAATTAGGCAATAAACCCGAAAAGGTCTACATGATTGGAAATTTTCCCTTGACTTGACGCCATCTGCATCGATACCTCAGTCATCACTATTATTCTAGCTGCTGTTTGATGGAGAGTAGGAAATTAGACTGAATTTGATACTCACTAAAGACAACTTTGCTAGTATTCTAGAACTCCCATTTCTCCGGGTGAAAACGCCAGTCCCTCTCATGGGATCGCTTGGCAAGCCTGTACGCGACGTAACGTGTCTGACCATTGTAGTTGATCACGGATTGGCCATCAACTTCGAAGCCCCGAAATGCGACTAAACTCATTAGTCAACATTCCTTAATATATAGAAACCCTGACGTACACATTGCCAGTGGACTGATCATAGATGATCTTCGAGATCCTGGACAGTTCTGGTTGTACACCACAACGCAGCATCTCTTTGTTAATTGTATTAGCGTTTTATCAATCTCTCACCTTGTGTTTGCGGAAACTGACTCAAAAGCAGCACAGAATTTGGCACGGATATCCTCTCTTACCAGGAGATCCAAGCTTCAGAAAGATTCCTCTGTAAGACTCCCCAGACACCTTTTCCCACACGAGGTATTTGACATAGTCACCAGGAACGAGATCATGTCTCCCTTGCGTTTTCTTGCAGTAACCAAAGAAGCGTGGAACGGAGCTACAGCCTTGATTCGTCAATACCTTAAACGCCTCTAGTTCACCACGCACCTCAGAAGATTGAATTTGTTGGGCTAGGGTAGCCAGATCAGCGTCCTCCGTCCCAGTGATAGGGACTTTAAAGTACATTTGCATGAAAGCTATCTGCGTCGGGTCATCCACTAAGTGGCACAGAAAATCCTGTGTGAGATGGACAGCCCGCTCCGAGAGCTTTCCCGTAATGATCCACGAGCGACTGATCACTGGGGAGGGGCGAGCCAGAGGAAGAAAGGATAGGGGCCGTAGTGGAGGAGTCCGTAGCGTGCGAGGCCGCTGGAGGAGGGCGCAGAGAGAGAGACGGCAGACGTGGGAGAAGAAACAGCGGACGACTGAAGTAGGGAGTCGAAGTCATAAAAGGTTGTGACCTGTGTCCCTACCAGACGGCGGAGGAATCGGGCATCAAAGTCCTTCGGTCTCGAAGGAAGTATCATGATGATTTTTGCGAGCAGGTACCTCTAGTAATATGGAGACGAACGTCGAACAGGACATCTTAAAAGTATGGGTATTCCAGTCAACGAGATTGACTTAGGGGGGAGGACGCGGAAGGGAAAGGAAAAAGCAACGAATCACTATATATTTTATACCAAGTTCACGCGAGCGGAACGCCAAGTTTTATAACCTGGAGTGATTTATGAAGACGGTCCTGCTAGAGGTTCATTACTAGGACCAATCCCTGGCATGAAACAGCGTGATACTCTGCATGTGTATAGTAAGCGATGCTCTATAACTATAAGTTTACCTTAATGCTTGTCAATAAGTATGGATGTTGATAGGTATCAAAAGAAGACATACTGAGTATCTCCGATCATTAAGCATACTTGATTCCGATCAAAGCCATCAAGATACCTACTTTTATCAGTAGACAAACATTGTACAGCTAAAGAACATCTTAACATAACCCTAGGTTAGTTTGAGCTCCACCGTTTTTCCATTTTCTAGAGTTGAAGATATCATCTATAAAATCACTGATAATTTCTGCCAGACTGCACTGATATAGAGAAATAAAATTAGTACTTGAGTACTATTTTCCGAGAGGACGATGCTTAGGATATTACAGGGTCCATTATAAACAAGATACTAGGTGCCTTGTGCTCTTAAGCACAATTTGAGCCACCGGATTCGCTTAATCCAGTATGATAGATATTGAGAATTCACAAGAAACTGAAGTATTTCTACCGAGTTAGTCGATATAGCAGGTATGAAACCCCCTTCTGCGAAGCTGATACCATGGGATACCCGAAAGGCAAATTTTTCTACATCCATATCTCTAGACATAGTCAATTAGATAAACATAGGTTATTTGCTTGGAGGTTTTCTCTTGTTCTCGGTAAAAATAGTTATGGAGGGTATCTTATCAATCTTGATGGTTTTCTATAGATCGCTTCCGACATATATGGCATCTTACAACAGTATGATGGGTTTCAGGTGTGATTTTCCAGATATATACTTCAGAGGTAAAAGAACCAAAAGCCAGCCTGAAGAGAGATTCAGTCAAGCTGTAATCATGTCATTCACGCCATCTCTGCGCTGACCAAATTTTGGAGACTTGGTATCACCATCTAACCCTAACAAGTAGAGTATCGATGTTCATTTTTTTTATTTGAATATCAGTAAATATATGTCTGGACTGACTTCTGCGATATCGGGTTAGCTTCTGATCCTTCAGCTCTCGGCATACCGGTTGACCATAATCCTTGGGAAAGTCCAACGCGTTGTGTGAAATCAGTGATTAAAGTATTCTTAATCAGTCTTCTAACATTGAACCTTATAAGACACTTGATAAGTTAAAGAAAAGCAGTATGCTAGTGATTATGCATCTATAAAAATCAATTCCATGCGCTCTTTATGATCCCCCCCAAACCCAATCCGCCGCAATCGTAGCAATTATCGCAGCCTGAACAAATAAGTTAGTGAATATCCACACCTTGAATCCATCCCCGGCGGATACATACCACAGACAGATCCACCCCTGAAGTAACAATGATATCCAACGCCGGTCGATACCCATCCTTCGAGCTCGAGCGCAAAGCTATTCGCTGATTATGCTTAACACTCTGCCGCACTTCAATAACCTTGCGATCCCCATCAACGACATCAAACGACGCCAGCACATTCCCATAACGCTCAATTTTCAATGAAACCTTCTTATCATCCTCCGTCTTCGCATCCTCCGCCGCCGTATTCCTCAACGAAAAGCTGAAGTTCCCCACAGCCGACGCACCCCAGACCCCGCGCGGAGAACCACTCCCCAGATATGCAGGATCGTCGCCCCTGGTACTGCGGCTGCCGCCCGGCAGCGTCACGGCCCACATATGGCGCAGCGACACCCGCCGGTGCAGCTCGAACAGCGGCAGTCCCGAGGCGTCGCGAAATTCGCGACACGAGCGCCGCTCGCCGTATTCGCTCCCGGATACGGTGAACTCGATTATCCCGTCATCGTCATCGTGCGTGATACGGTATGCGACGGCCGACTTCGCGTTGCCCACGGTTTTCAGGACGAGCGTCGTCTTCGACGTCGTGATCGATTCCCTTCGGATGGCGATGGGCCGATCGGGTGGGCGGAGTGATGGGCGAACGCGTGGAAAAATGGCTCTCGAGAGGGAACTGCGGGAGCTCGTGCCGATGTGGATGTCGCTGCTTCGTCCCCAGACTGACATGCTGTAGTGCTTTCGTTTGCTGTAAAGGTGAGGCTGGGAGGAAAGGGTTGGCTTTTCGAGGCGGGGAAGGAGGGGGTTGATAGTTATATATAGGTTAGTATCGTAGTAGGATCGTCAAGTGTGTACTGCTGATCCAAGTAGTATTTGCTAACTATAACACCAGTAGCTAGGAGGCAAGATGGAGGTCGTAAGCCCTTTGCTGCGCCCGACTGCACCGTTTCCCATTCCGATGACCTCATGGCTCGCCCATTGGTCGATCGCTATACCGCTTTGGGGCTTCTCTGTCAGCACCAATGATCGGTCTCCACTCCCCTGCCGCATTCTACATTCTGGGCACTGTTTAAGAGTATGAATTGAGCCAACAGGACGAGTATTGCAAGGCTAGTCCAGGGCTTAGGTCCTCTTGGCCTCGGGATAGATCGTGATGCTATAATCACCGCCCCATAGGTGGGCAACAACCAACCACACAACAATTCATGGTACAACCAATCGTTCACTTCCCAACTCAACACATCACTGGGTCCACGCGCAGATCACCTTTGACAATCAAGTCAGATTACGACAATGAACTCCAACGCGACGCCTTACTTGACTCCAACTGGAGTGCAATCGACACTGATGCGATAGCCGCGATAACACCAAGACGATTCGACGGGTTTCCCGCGACTCTCCGATGTATCTATCACGCAATTTACAACCCGGTTAACCACATCGGCCACATCTCCGCCTTGCGGGGATGCCAGGTTCCTTATATACTGAGACCCCTCCTAGGAACCGAAAATCAGCATCTTCCTCCCTGGAACGTCAAGTCTCAAAGCAAGAGACTAGACACCACCATGTCCGTCGCGAAAGAATTCGAGGCCGCGAACGCCGAGTATGCCGCCTCTTTCGACAAAGGCGGCCTGCAACTGCCTCCTCAGCGGTACTTCACCCATTGATCCTCCCCAGAATCACTATTCTGCGACGCATTCTAACAAATGATCTCCAACATATAGCAAGGTAGCGGTTATAGCATGCATGGATGCGCGACTGGGTATGTCTCAATCCTTTCACACCTCTTCCACCTGCAGTAGTATCCCCTATAGCATCACACTAACAACGATAGACCCCGCCCGCGCTCTCGGACTCGAAGAAGGCGACGCCCACGTCATCCGCAACGCCGGCGGCCGCGTATCAGACGCCATCCGCAGCGTGGTCATCTCGCAGCAGTTGCTAGGGACTCGGGAGATAGTCATCGTGCATCATGTACTTCCCCTACTCTCACCCTCCCTTCCTGTTTACTTCTCAGAAATGGCACAAGCTAATATAAAAATTGTACAGACGGACTGCGGTATGCTACTCTTCACAGACGAGGTAATCCGCGGTAAGATCCGGACTGAGCTGGGCCAGAACGCAGACCACGTCGCGTTTCTGCCGTTCGGGGATCTGCGACAGAGTGTACTGGATGATATTAAATTGCTGAAGGAGAACCCGCTTGTGCTGGATGTGCCTGTCACGGGGTATTTGTATGAGGTGGAGAGTGGGCGGATTGTGAAAGTTGAGTGATTCTTTTTTTAATATAATATATATGATTGTGGGAGTCATAGGTTATGTTGGATTTGGATGAATATACCATATAGGGCTGACAGGAACGGATTTTGATCTGTTTTTTCTGTCAATGTATGTTCGTCAAAAGAAATTCTCAATGTATGTGTAGGATCTGTCATAGGTATAATCTGGATAACTAGATAGGCGGGAATATATAGATATAGATATAGATATATAGATAGTATATACAACTACAACTCCAGCCTCGGCCCATGATAATGCTTCTTCGCATACAGCCACCAATTGCCAGCCCCAATGACCACCATAGCTGCTAAGACGGCCGCAGCATAATCTACACAGTCGATTAGCAGTCTTTCACGGGATGGTATTCAAATCCACTCAAAATAGGCGCAACAGGAGAAAGAAGGAAAGAATGAGGGAAAGAACGAGGGAAAGGACGAAGGTAGGAACGAAGGTAGGAAAGAACGAAAGAAAGGATAAACCCACTCATATTCCCCCCCTTCACCGGAAACGCAGCCGGAAAGCAAAAGAAAACCGTAATAATCACCGCCCAAACAATCGTCATAACATTCGACGCGCAGCCCACCCACCCAGGGACCCAGAAGGCTCTATTCGGCGGCAGGTAGTTGGGATCGCGACGACGCCAGAGGAGCAGGGCAGCGGGGACGGCGAAAGAGATCTGGGCGACGATGACGGTGCAGGCGATGAAGGCGTTGAAGGCGTTGGTGGAGGCGACGTAGACGATGCCGAGGAGGAGGACGAAGACGCCGTCGACGACGAGGGCGTATACGGGGACGTGGAGGGTGGGGGAGATCTTTGAGAGATGCGAGGAGAAGAGGAGGGCTTCGTCGCGGGCCAGAGACCATGTTAGGCGAGAGGTGGTCTGGTGTACGGCGTTGAGGGCGACGCAAGTGATTATGCAGGTGGCCGTCATGAAGACTGTTGCTGCGGCGGGGGAGGAGGTCGCTTTTTCCCAGATGAAGTAGACGGGGAAGCTGTTTGGATCATCTTATTAGCATTTGTCTCTCTCTTTCTCCGTTTTCACTCTCTATGTCCACCTCCCCTCGGTCTACCACCGCCCGTTCTCTCTTTAGGACAGGTGAAGAAATACCCAGTTGGCGACTCCAGTGACGCCGAGACGTCCTTGAAGCTGTAGATTGCTGAAATAGAAAAGGGAAATGCGGTCAAAAACCCAATCAACACTGTAACCATCACCGCACGCGGGACGATGCGTTCTGGCTGCAGGGCTTCCTCGGCCAGATGCAGTGTGGCGTCCAGCCCGGAGAGCATGAACTGCGGTGTGGACAAGCCCGTCAGGAAGGAGACACCATCGGGCCAGCCGTTGGATCCGTTGACGAGATAAGTCCACACCGCGTGGGAGTCGATGGTGGTGTGGGCGCTGGCGGGACATGTGACCGTGATGGCGATGAAGGTGACCATCGACAGGATGACTGCATCACGTCAGTTAACCTCCACTACCTCTATCTTTTGCAACCTCCCACAAAAACATACAGCCCACATTATACACCCACAAAGTCTTCCCCGTCAGAAACACATTGTACGCCACCATCAATGCATTGAACAGTTGATACACCAGGAAATAGTGCCACGGGGCAGACACATACCCAGGCTGCCAGCGGATGACAATAGCCATCAGAGCCTGAGTGGCAGCCAACGCGATCGACGCCGCCAGTGTAATCCACGCAAACACCGCCGCTAGACCACTGAAGTACGAGAGCCCTCGACTCCAGCGCCGACTAGCCAGGATGGATGTGAAATGGTACTGTCCACCCGCGGTGGGATAGACGCTGGCCAACTCCGCCAGTGTGATCCCCGTGCCCACCATGGCGACTGTCACAGCTATAATGCCATAAAGCAGCGAGGGAGCGCCGCCGGACTGGATGGCGATGGAGAAACTGGTGGCGATGGCCACCCAGCTGTTGGAAATGTTATATCCTACTGCGATGATGCTGAAGATACTGAATTGGCGCCGTAACGGGGCGACCTCGAGGCCCGTGACGACCTGGCCTGTGGCTAGTTCGATTTCCGGTACGGCGGAGGCATCGTTCGTGTGGGGCTTCGAGGACGATGATACTGACGATGGGCTTTTAGTCTCGGACATGGTATGGGCTGATGTGTATTGAATATGGTCTGATGGAATTCGTATGTTCGGGGGGAGGCAACATATTAAGCTACTACTTCCTACAGTGAATTCCTTTTGACTTTCTTTCATTTCTGTGCCAGCCAGTGAGAGCAGGATGTGACGACCAATGATTACCTATCTAGATGCCCCAGTTGATTAACATGTTTCAATTAGGACAGCATGACAGTGACACCGGACAGCTTATCAAGTTTCCTGCAGTGCCTATCGTGACGATCGACACATCAAGCCTCGAACAAATGCGGAATGACGGCGGAATTAGTCCACATTGCCGAGTGAACCATATGGATTTTGCGGGGAAGCAGCCAATGTCTTGCTGTATTCGCCTCTCCCCGCATTTCACTATCTATTGACTCCGAATGATACGAACTCGGCCGTCCGATGATCCCTAGCGAGATAGGCAATTCTTACGCCCAACGCTATCTCCGCACGAGGATTTCCACCCTACGCGTTATCACGGCTTGCTGATAATCGAACGAGTGGATTGGATACGCCTATCGAGCTACTGCGCTCTAGCTCTATCTAGGACACTGCAGTCCTTCAAGGCGTCATACCAGCCACCCGATTGGATTGTAAACCCAATTCAGACCCTCCCCTGATAGAGTTCCTTCTTCACCGACCTCTGGAATATTCGAATTCCCTCCTCAATTTTCACTTACCTTATCTCTTCCACGTCAAGTTCTCAATCTAGTCCTCCCTGATACCCACAATTGAGACCCCGATGTTGGGGTCATGACAACAAGATAGGCCTACGCCTCGCCGGGCCGGTGGAGCCCCTTTCCTCGCGTGAACAGTGCCGCGATGGTCGCCACGAGCCCAAAACAGGCAGACGCCAGGAACGATAGTCGAATCCCGCGGTAATACACCAGGCGCGCGGCCATCTGCACCTCAGGGGGAAGCGTATAGATTGCCGAGACGGAGTGACGAATGTCGTCAATGAGCTAGGGGAAGATAAACCAGATCAGCCAAATGCCCGGGTGGGACTGGAAAAATCAAACCAGTAAATCACACGCAAGACAGGGATACTACTTTCCATTTATCTGGTACTCCACTCAGGGCCTCTGCGAGACCCGAGCGCAATGTGTTTTGAACAATCGTCGACGTAATGGCCACGCCCCACACCGTACCCAGCGAGCGGACTAGGTAGACAGTTGAGGCGGAGACAGCGTGGTCTATTGGGTTAGATCGTCGCTTTTCTTTCTTGGAAAGGGAAAAGGAGTTATTTACCTGCGTGGTCGAACGCCGCCAAAAACGTGAACAAAATTCCGGGATAGACAATGCCCTGTCCCAAGCTGGCAGGGATGACATAGACATAATACTTCCATTCAGAGTCGTTGAACTGCAGCAGCATCACGAGGAAGTTACCAATACACATCAAGGCGGCTCCCGTGCGGACCAGGTGCGCGAGCTTTCCCCAGCGTGACATCACAATGCCAGAGACGAGACTCCCAATGGGAGCAGCCAGCGACGGGACAGCCAGGCGGGCCCCAGCCTTGGAGGCCGAATCGAGCAAGATAACCTGGAAGAGCAGCGGAAGGGTGAACAGAAACTGCATAGTCAGCGTCACACTCACACAACACCTATATTCCAGACACAACTTACAGCATACGCAGCCATTCCAACACAAACGTTAGAGATCTGCGTCGCGACAGGCAAAACACCCTTCAGCATACGCAGCGGAATCAACGGAATAGCCGACGTAGTTCCCTCAACGAACACAAATAACGCAAGCAGCACGACACTGCCGACCAGCGATCCAACAACCCACGGATCCGACCACGGGAGCTCGTTGCCGCCCAGACTCAAACCCACCAGCTGGCTGGACAGACCCAGGATCAGCAGACAGGCGCCCGACAGATCAACGTACTTCCAGATCGCGCGCAGACCCTGGCCTGGCTGTACCAGCCCGTTGGACGATGGCGACGACAGGTTGATCACCAGGTAGCCGGTGACAAGGGCGAATATGCCCACGGGCACCTGCATGATGAAGCACCAGCGCCAGCCGATCGTGTCGACGATGGATCCGCCGAACGAGGCGCCGCAGACGGCTCCGAAGCCGTTCATCCCGTTCTGCAGTGCCTGATACATGCCGCGACGGCGGAAAGGGATGAGATCGGAGTTGACGATCGTTGCTGGAGCTGTCAGCGACATTCACGCACTGTGACGACAAGCGACAGTAATAAAAGGGAAAGAAAAAGAGAAAAAAAGAGAGAGAAGAAGAACTCACCCATAGTCATCAACCCACCCCCGCCAATCCCCGTCAGCGCGCGCATCAGATTCAGTGTGACGATATCCTGCGCAACACCGCAGCCGATACACCCCGCGATGAACGTGATCGTGGCGGTGAAAAATGACGTGCGACGTCCGAAGATGTCAGAGAACCGCCCGTACAGCGGCTGGAACGCCGTGCTGGTGATCAGGTACGAAGTGGTCAGCCACGAGGCCGTGTTGGCGGCGTTGAACTCGGAGCTGATCACCGCGTAGGTCGACGCCGTGATAGTGCCGTCGAAGCCGGATAGGAAGACGTTGGACATTATTGCTGTATTGGTTAGTTCATTTCTTTCCTTTTTTTTTTTTGTTTTTTTTTTTTTTATTGTACGTTTATTTGTCTTCTTTATTCCTCTTCAGGGGATAAGAGAAAAGAAGAAATATGGAAAGAAAGGAAGAAAAATTACCTATTTGAATCCAGACAAACCCACGCGGAGGCTTCCACATGGCCTCAGGCGCGGACGCCGACTGCAGCAAAGGCTGGTCTTCAGCGGGCGCCGCAGGTTCAACATCACGATCAGGATGCTGCATATTGCGAAACAATTCCTATTCTCGAGACGTGTAGACTTTAATCGCAGCCAGTTTGAACCCAAGTACGTTGAAACAAACTATCACCAGAACTCAAGGAGGGACAGATGTGCGGGGGTAGCGAACAGATAGTTAGCACGGTGAACGTTTAAATACTAAAACAAGTAGTAGTAAGAGCCTAGAGTCGGGGACCGTAAAAGGGTTAAAAAAAATTGAGGGTCCGAAAGATCTTGTCAGGCACGATTCGTCATTCGTTGTGAGTGTCGTTTTTTGACCCACTTGTGTCGGTTATCAGCTTGGCTACAGATGCTGTAGGTGGCGAGTGGATGGGAGGTATAACAACTCCATGGGCAAGGATATTGGATTCAATATACTAATTAGGTACATGCAGATTCAGGATAGATGCATAGATGCTGGATCGCAAGATGGAAAGCAGATGAACGTTTTAAGTTATATTCTAACCCTAAAGCTCATCCGGTGGCGCTCTATACTTCTCGCAACCTACTCCACCACGATCGGACATCCATGCTTCCCTAGTCCATAGCCCACACTAATCTACAATTCATCCTGAAATCCAGTATAGACCGGAATTTCTGCAAAGCCCCATCCTACACGCCATTCAAGTAATGAGGCACATCCAACCCCACAAACTCCAAAGCCAGAGCCAGACGGCCCGCATTTCGAAACCCCCCTTCAGTCCAACACCTCTCCATAACCCACCCGAGCCAGAGTCCATCAGTATTAGGCAGCTCAGCCCGTTGCGGCCAAGCAGCCCGACCATCATCCGGTGCATTGTCTCTAAAAAGGTCAATCTCGGATTTCTGCCGCGTGATAACCTCGTACATGACGGCGCCAAGCTGGCCGATGTCTGTTTGTATTGAGAAGCCATTATCGTCGACTTTCTCCATGCATATTGTTTCAAGCGGGAGAACAGTCGCTCCACTGAAATCGCACAGTTTGAGGCACATGTTCTCGTCAAGAAGGAACTTGCGAGTAGCAACGTCAGCGACGAGAATGCGTCTTTCGTGGATCTGCTCCAAGACGCATGCCATCTGCCGCAGCCATGCAATTTGAACAGGGCGATATACTCGCTTGTTATTGTTTTGCTAGTAGGCGCGTAGGTCTCCCCCCTCCATGCGGGCAAGGTGGATAGCATTCTCAGCCAGTCCAATGCAGGGCACCACTCCGTCGACCGAGCCAGGGAGATTCAACCGGCGATAGACATCTTGCTCATGTTGAATCACTTTAATATTGATGTCCACGTCGGAGTCGCTACTCCAAGGATGCCGCAATGGTATCTTGATGGCCTGGGCGATCGCGATGGATCACAACACCTGTCCTTCCATATCTCAAGGTTTCACTTTCGGAGATAGGCTGGCTCTTGAGATCTAGGAATAGGGAGATGGCCACATTTCAAGACAACAAATGGAAGGATGGGAGTCGGTGTTGTTTCAGGAGAAGCTTGACAGCGTAGAGATTAATTGGTACAAAGATAGTGCATGAAGTAGTACAACACGTGGCAGTGTGTCAGGGTGTATACAGTACGAAACTTGTAGTCGATACTGTAATAGTATTGGTCACTTTGATTTATACATATCCTTTATGTATAGTTGTGGAATAACATTACACGTTGCGGGGGATGAAATTGCAGACTTATTGCATAGAACTATAGATGGTCCAGACAAGGGGTATTCTAACTCTATATTAAGCAAATCAGAAGTCGAAAACTGCCGGACATGATTACACAGAGCCTGGTTTTCTAGGCACCAGATCATTGATATTGCCAATAATGAGCCGTCTATATCAAAACAGTCGTCCACCAGAACGACACATAGATGGTATTAGCCAAGCGGCAGACGATGGATGGTTCATGATAAGACAATTAGACATAGACATAGACACTGATAGCAGCACGCCCAAAAACAAAAACGCCCCATCCTCGACCCTGTGGTGGTCCCGACTGTTTTGAATTCGTCAGTCGTAATCGCCCCGGCCTCGTTGATATCTGGTATCCTCGTTGATAGTATCCTACGTTCCACACATGATACCCCGCGCCCTCCTCTAGACCAAACTGGTGATACCCCTGCAGTGCGGCGTGTATCGGAATAGCGCCGTGGTCTGTTTAGTCGAAAGCGAGAGATAAGAAGAAGAAGAAAAAAAGGACGGAAAATCCCGAAAATAACCACTCATCTCGCCTTCCCAGCTTGATTCGCAGCTTCTACACCACCCAGACGAACCGCATTAGCCTCTCACCCAATAAAACCACCCCACCCAACCCCTCAAGCATAGGAAATGGAAAACATACCTCTCCGCGTAGCATCCTCCAACAACCCCACATCAACCTCCGACCGCGGCAGCACAACATAGCGCACCACACTGCCCCGGATAAACATGTTCTTGACGGACGACAGGTGCGGGTACTTGTCGAGGTCGAGCACGTCGACGTCGTCGAGCTTGATGTTCAGGTACTGGTCGACGGACTTGAGGGTGCCGCGGATGCGGATGTCGTTTTTGAGCTCGATGGTTACGGTTTGGTTGGTGAGGGTTTTGAAGAAGCTTTATGATTTGGATTTGAGGTTAGTTATGATATATATAGAGTGAGAAAGAGGGAGAAGGGGAGAGAGTTGCAAAGTGAGTTCAAGAAGGTGAGGTGGAGGACGCACCTGAAGAAGAGCATGATTGCGGCGGGGTGTCGTTAGTTTTGCGGTGGGTGTTATCGTTGTTGTTATTTATGTTGTTGTAGATGTCGCGTTCGCATGGCCTCATGAAACTAGATAGGAGCGGTCTTCAAGCGTGATCCTGAAGAAAGAAGAAACTAGGTCGTCGTGATGTGTGCAAATCAGTCCCGCGGCCAAGCTCCTACCTCCGTGATGGCATCGGCGGGACTCAACCGGGCGGTCACGTGAGTTCCACCGATTGCTTAAGGCTGATTCTTGGTGCGAAACACATACACTCCAACCACCAGGTCTCCCGAAGACAAATTTAATTGAGTGATTATTTTTAATGCAATAGATTATACTGTTTTGATCATTTTGGTGGATTGGAACTATCATACAACTCTACCCCCATAGTCCCGCCGCATCACTCCTCCATGACCACAACCACTCATCCCCAGCTTCTCACGCGCGAACTCATTATTAGATTATGACACCGCCGGGGTGCTGTAAAGGGTATCATGATAATCATCCCAGGTGGTCCCAGTAATGCCAAAACAAGTATAGAAAAAAAAGGAAAGTGGAAGACCAGATAAAAGACAACGAAGAAAATCGCCAGACTCAGCCCAGGTTCACCCAAGTCAGAGTCTAGCGTTTTGGCTTCATCGCCCATCCGGTCAGGCAGGTCCAGCCTGCGCTATTCTTGCGACCCTCGTCAAACACAGCCCCCACTCCCTCAAGGAGCTTTTCGCGCTCGCGACCCATCTCCATCTGCAGCTTCAGCAGCCACTGCTCCCAGATCCACCCGCCAAAGAGACCCGCCACGCTGGCGATATCCGCCGTGCTGCCGATGGGCCCGTGGACCGCTTCGTACGCCTCGAGCTGGCTTTTGACGCGGGGCTCGGGCGTCTCGCGCGGGACTTGCGGTGGGGCCGGCTCGACGCCCATCGGGAGGAACGTCCAGGCGCGTTTGACTCCCTCGAATCCACCCTTGCGGAGACGGGCGAGGAAGCTCTTCGTCGGGGTCGGGTCGTATCCTCTGGTCTTGAGACTGAATGCGAACTCGACGGATGTGGCTGTTGCGTATGGCCCTGCCTGTGCTACCTCGGCGTCCATGACGAAGTATTCCAGATATCCCCCCGGCTTGAGGCATCGACGACACTCCTGGAGGCAAAGGTCGTACTCGTCCTGCTCGGCGTTCGCGGGACGCTCCGCTTTGAGGAGGGCCGGGAGCGAGCGAGCTGAGATCACGTCGAACTTGTTGTCGGGGAATGGGAGCTTCCACAGCTGGCTGACCGCAACCTGGCGGTGATTGTCGGGGCCCTTGATTCCGGGGTTGACCGCCTGGCGCTCGGTATAGACCGTGTATACCTTCGAGTTGGGGTGGTCATGCGCAAGGTGCCAAGCCCATTCGCAGGATGCATGTCCACCGAGATCCAAGACCCTCATACAACGTCGACGGCCTTTTGACGAGGAGCTGGACAACCGCTTCGCTGCGGGGCTGGTGAGGAGATGTCCACCATTGATGTACTTGAGGGCATCGATGGCCCACATTGATTGGCTGAGCTGAGCTAGCACGGACTGCTCCTTCTCGATCATGGAAAACTGCGCCTTTTCTGCCAGCTCCGTGGCTATCACCGAGTTACGCGGAGCCTTCGAGAAAGGGCCCTTGTACGGAGGGCGGCCCGGGTCGTTCAATTCGTAGTACCCTTGCAGGCATCTGACATGCAGGCTAGGCAAGCCAAGCCGGATGGACTGAACGGCGTCAAAGCGCATGTGACGGTGCAGGAAGGTGTCATTCTCGCTGGACAGCTGACGGACCGATTGAAAGCCCCGCCAGTAGATGGAATCCTTGCTAGCTGAGGCCGAAGGGCCGGAGCTAGGTGCGTCGGGCACGTCTTGGGCGAACCGGACAGCCCTTTTGCCGTTGGTTTCCGGGCTTTCTTGATGGGCGTCGTCATTGGGTTCATCTACCTCGGACTCGCTCGCAATATCGGGTAAGTTCACCGGGTTGCTTTCTCGAAGGACGGAGAGATAGGATTGTTGTGCAGCGAGCCAAACGCTAGTTCTGTCCAGACTCGCCATTGCTCTCTTCTGCAATTCTTCCTCGTAGGTCTCATCCTGTTCGTCCAGGTTGTTTGTCGATACGGGCCTCGAAATCTCAGAAATTCCTTCAGGACCAGGACTGATGGGACTTCGCTGATCCCCAAAAACGTGACCTTCAGCTTTGGGGGGCATCCTAATCGCCGTAGGGGGGGCATATACCGCCGTCGGTTGGTCGTCTGTGGGAATATCACGGCACTCGATGACCTGTTCCACGATTTCCCCCTCGTCCCGCCCAAAGGGCAAATTGTAGAATCGCTCAGCAACGGCAGACGATGGCGGCATTGCGCCTTTGGGTATCGACCAGGTATGACGTGCTCGTGGCCCCAGCGAAGCAAAAAACCCACCGGGGGACGGGATGCTCAGGCTGCTAAAGCTGTGTCCCGATGTGGCGGACGCTGGGGTGGCATCGCCGGCACTTCGGGGGCGTTCCGGGATCCCGTGGACCTCCCACATCTCCTCATCCGCATCCGAGCCCTCCGACCAGGGATCTGGCGTCCTATCCAGCGGGATGTGTCTCAGCGTAGCCATCGCACCTTCCGGCAGGAAAACACCGTTGTCGGATGGTGTATGTTCACGCGAGGGGCCCGCTTCGATATGCGCCGGTGGAGCGGTCGAACGGCCCGGGATGGAAGGGAAATTTCCGAGCACTCGCTGCCAGTCATCATCGGGACTCTCCAGGGCGATCTCGATATCTTGCACGTCCGAGTCCGGTTCGCGGTCCGACACGTCCGGTGTCCGATCGCCCTCGATCCGGGATCGGATGTGAACATCTTGGGCTTCCCAATCCGCGTCGGGGAGAGATTGCAGATCCGGGGTTGCCGGGGCACTGATGTTGGATACTTGGTCCGACGAAACACTGCCGCCGTCCAAAGACGGTGGGGCATGAGCTGCCGGTACCGAGCGTGACAGCAGTGACAACGCCGCTGGTGACACCGGGATCTTCGGAGGTGGAGTTGGCGGGACGGGTGAACTCTTGGGTCCTCCGTGGAGCGATGGCCACGTCTCGGACGCAGGGATCTTCAGGCGGGGATAACGGTTGCGATTGACGGGGGACGTCAATGAATGTCTGGTCGTCGGAGTGGCCAGGCTCGTGGGCCGTGTGCTGGTGGAGATGGACGTACAATCGTCGCTGAGGTCGGACTCATCATCGGTAGCGTCGTAGAGCTCGTCAAATGGTTCCATCTGGCGCTGCCATTCCGTATCAGAGCACGAAGAAATGGACCCAGCCGACATGGGTGAGAGAAAACGATTCATGCTCGAGGAGGGGGGTAGATTGGTCGTCTTGAGCTTCAACCGGGGCCCTAACGTTGCGATTGGGTTGAATCCTGCCTGGCCCGCCGCCTCATCCTTCTGGTCTGTCCGTCCTCTCTGGTCGGCTTGGTTGGCATCATGCTGATCCGATTCTTGAAACTCGCGCAAGTCTTCGGGTATCGTATTTAGCTTCGTCCCCCGGACCGGCCGGAAGGGTGGACCTCTGATGGTGGTCATGGTGTATCACTCCAGAAAAACCGACAGAATCTGTAAATGGAACTCGACACCGATCAACGGGTCGTCGATTCAAGTTGTTGTTGTTGTAAAAACTAAGGTGTGGAACGAATGATGGATGGCCTAGCTTCCAGAGCCACAGGCACAAATAAACACAAAAACAACGCCCAATAGGATCAACTGCAACAGAGGAAAATCGCGAGGAACCACCATGAAGGAGCAAATGAAGCCCCCGCCCGATCAGTCGTGCCCGGCGCTGATATATAGGACTGCTTCGAAAGGAGGGGAGATCGGATGGAGGGCGCCTCTTCCATGGCCTGCAGGAACTACTGCAGCATTGTGCACGCAGAACCAAGAACCCCTGCAGAATCTCCAGCAGCTGGCTACCTGATTGGGTGTCGAAGGGCCAGCGCGACGCTTTGGGCCACCCTCGAGCAATCAGCGACTTGCTCTCTTGGGTGGCATCACCCTGGCGGCAATGGGCACACCAATCATGGGGAGAAATGATGAGGACTCCCTGTGAAGAAGCGCTCTTCAAGCATGGGGAGGGTGGTTGGCCGAATGATTGTGCGTCTTATTGGTGAGGCATAAGCGCCGGCGATCTATCTTTAGAATTGAACGCCTTGGCTAGAGGGGAGGAGAGGGGACGGAGGAAGATCACTGGCCCTCTTTCCACGCACGGATCAAACCGCACCCTCAGTGACTATTCATTCTGATTCCTCTTTCTGCCCACAGTATCCCGGTTTGATTGATGATCTATTCTTGTTTTCTTTCCAATCATTTTCCTTCGGGTTTCTTTTGGTTTCCTTTTTTGAATTTCTTTTCGAGGGCGATCCGTTGCTGCCCGGAGTGGGCCGACCAACGCACTTGTCGTCATCCATATAGACCGACAGTAGGTAGGATGGATCTTCCAAGATAAGGGCCAGCTCCTCTCCGGTAATTCCTACTCTGTCTTTGGGATGGCATCCAAACCGGTCGGAAAGCACAGAAAAGGGAAACCCGACGCGGTGGAGCACGGACAATTGGGAGACATTGGGGACCAACAACGATCAACCAAGCAGGGGGGGGGGAAGGAAGTCAGCCGACCATGGTGCATCGGATATAGAGCCGGATGAAATGGTGACGACTGGGCCAGGGACAGTTGGGTGGGAAAGCAAGATTTCTATTTGGATTGGAACAAGTGTTGAGGGACCAATTGGGGAGATGCAGCCAAGAGGAGGAAGCAGTCCCCGTGACCCGCAGAAAAGAATGAGGAGGATCGTTGGCTGGATTCATCTCCCACTGCTTCGTACTAACGACTACACTCATGCCGTAGGGATTTTCCGATGTTTCCCCTGTCTTGATGGCTGGACCATCTTAACTCGATCGAGCGGATTCGACCTAGATCTGCTATCACAGGATCAGAGTCTCGGCTCCCAACGCCATTCAAACGCCATTGATGATCCAACATTATTAATCATACGGAGGACATCCAACAATCAGAATCCAGTCAGGTCCTTCAAGTCTAAGTATTCAATCCTTTTCTTGATACTGTCGGGCCACGTGCAAGGCTTGGCCCTAGCCCTCTGTCTAATGAGAGCTTGAGGTTCTATTGACTTGAGTCTTATTTTTCTGGTTTGTTTGTTACTGGCTCGACCCATTCCATCCTAATTGCCTGGGCAGCTATCAAGGGGAGGATGACTTGGCAATGTGACAGTTTGGATGAATTTGTTCTGGACTCATTAACAACCTGGTTCATTGTTTCCTGACGGATGCGTCACCACGATAAGTTCATCTCCGGGGATTAGTCATGCTATACAACAGTCTCCGCGGCCGGACTGAGGTTGGCCGGAAATGGCGGTGATGTCGATTTTCGATTTTATTTAATTCTATTTATTTAGTTCAGATTTTTTCTTTCCTTTTTTCTGTTTATCGCCCGATAGAGTCCCAATTTTTTTTTCCAACCCACCAGGTCACCATTCTATCGCTCCTTACGTTCACGCACTGCTCGTCTTCGTCTTTTAAAAAAGTATCGTGACCCTCGTCCTCCGTCCGGACTACTTCGCTCCCACTCTCCCTCCCGCTGCTCCAGACCAGTGCCCCTCCATCCCGCCGCCACATCTTTCAACCGATAACGACAGATCCGTCCTTACCCCCCACGCCTTCCACCTCCACCTTCTATACATTTGACAATCCCGTTCCATTGCATCTACCAGTGGAAATCAGCATCATGTCTCCCCCCGCAATCATCGCGCCGTCCATTCTGAGCGCAGACTTCGCCACTCTGGGCAGCGAATGCTCCGCCAAGATGGCCCAGGGTTCCGACTGGCTGCACGTAGACATCATGGACGGTCACTTCGTCCCTAACATGACCATGGGAGCTCCCGTCGTCAGCAAGATCCGGACCCACGTCGAGCGTCCAGCTCAACCCAGCGGCCGGGGGACATTCGACTGCCACATGATGATCGCAGAGGTACATACAATCCGAAAAGACCCTCATCACAATGGCCTATCTTTTCAAACAAGATACTGATTGTTTTTGCTGTGAAATATATAGCCCCAGAAATGGGTCAAGGAGTTCAAGTCCGCCGGTTGCGACCTCTACTGCTTCCACTACGAAGCCGCCGTGACCTCCTCCGCCGCGACAAAGCCCACCGACTACGCCACCACGCGCAAGACTAGCCCGCGCGAACTCATCCGGTATATTCACGAGGAGGGCATGCATGCCGGAATCGCCATTAAGCCCGATACGCCCGTTGACGTGCTGTGGGAGATCCTCGAGAGCAAGGAGGAGATTGAGCGGCCGGATGTGAGTTACCACCTACTACACTACATCACCAAATAATCCACCAATCTACCTTCTACCAATCAATCAAGCAAGCAAGCAAGCAAGCAAGCAAACAGCTAACATTGGCAAAACCAGATGGTCCTCGTCATGACAGTCCACCCCGGCTTCGGCGGCCAGAAATTCATGGCCTCCGAACTCCCCAAAGTGACAGCCCTGCGCGAGCGATACCCCGACCTCAACATCGAAGTTGACGGCGGGCTGGGCGTCGGAACAGTCGACCAGGCCGCCGAGGCCGGTGCCAATGTCATCGTCGCTGGCTCGGCGATCTTTGGCGCCCAGGATCCCGCTGACGTCATTAAGCAGCTCCGGTCTGCGGTTGACAAGTACCGAAAAGCGTAATTTAATTTTTTTCTAGTTATTTTATATTATCACCTTATTTCTTCACTGTTTTTTTCCCCTTTTATTTTATCTCTTATTTATACGGGTCATTGGCGATCTCTTTTATTTTTCTCTTTCTTTTCTTTCCATTTATTTCTATCCTTCTCATTGCATGCATATGGCGGACGGGCGGACAGACGGACGGGTAACGAAGACAAAAAAGAGACAAACAGACGGGCGATTCAGATCATCATAATTACTTCCTTCCCTCTTCCTTTCTTTTCTTTCTAATTAGAATTCGGGATTCAGGGTTGTTATGGTTGGGTTTTATACTATACCCTACCTATTATTTTATTTCATCTGATCTTGACTACCTACCACCTACTTACTACTTACTACTTACCTACACTTACTATAATATCTACTGCTAACAGAGCTAGTCATATGGCAGTTGGATAATGATAATAACAAAATCAATGATTCAGGCTGAAATAACAAGACAAGACATATGTCATCCGTGCAGAACTAGAATATTGCCCTACCAATTTGAAGGACCACCAGCGTGTAGACTGAAAAGGAAAGGAAAGAAATCCAAAGGGGCAAATATGTGTGAGAAGTAAACCGAAACAGAAAGCCATAAGGCAGAAACAACGGGGAGAAAGGTAAAAAAAAAAGACAGGTATCTATATACAAGGATAAAATTAAAAGCGATCACACAACCAGCAAGCTGTAAAACAAAGCCATTTTGGTACAAGGCGTTCAACACCGACAACTCAAATCCAGGTTCAAATCCTCGCTTCTTGGACCCTCGCCGCCATCTCATCCACGCCAGCAGGCTCCTCCTCGATCGTCTCCTCGTGCTCTCCCTCGCTACCACGGTTAGCCTTCTCGGCCCGCAACGACTCAACAACATCTTCTGCCTGGCCGCCAGAGACAGACGTGCGCAGGTCCTGGGCGACCTTCTTTTTCTCCTCGGGCGACGTGGCTGATACGATGGATCCTCGGTGGTGTTGGACTAACCCGAGGGCTTGGGCACTGTCGGCGTGGAAGTTTGCTGATGACTCCGCTGCGATCTCTGGTACTAGGCGTGGTCGCTGGGGTCGGGAAACGCCCATTCCTCCTTTTCCTTCTCCTCCTACTGCTTCTTCCTCCCCTACTGCTTCTCCTACTTCTGCTGGTGTTGATTCGGGCCCCCCCTTAGGACTGGACGAGCTGTTAATCTCAGGCGGCGCCACTGAACTCTTTTCTCGACGTACAGTGGTGGACGCGGCCGCGCCTTGTTCGCTTTCTGTGGCGGTCTGCGCGTCGGTTGGAGCGGCCTGCGCCGTACGGTTGGGCTCCTCCTCGGTTTTCTTGCCGTCCTCTGGTATCTTTGCTGCTGCAGGGGCGGCGGCGGGGGTGGGGTCAGCGGGGGCAGCTGGAGCGGGCGACGACGACGACTGCTCGACCTTGGAGGCAGACACCTCGCTCTTCTCGTCTACTACGGCTGCGGCAGGGGTAGGGGCAGCGGGAGCGGGCGACGACGACAATTGCTTAGCCTTGGCGGCAGCCTCTTCACCAGCCTGGCGCAACGCGGGCGGGATCGAAGCCTCCTTGTGCTCCTCCTTGGAGGGCGGGTTCTGGATCTTGATCGTGCTCTGTTTAGGGGCGGAAGCCGGCGCCGCGGCGGAGGTGGATGTTGTAGCTGCGGAGGTTGTGGGGTAGCTTGTTGCAGGGAGAGAATCTCCGAAGTCTTCGACGCTTTCAATCTGCATCCTCAGCTCACCGTATTCGTTCCATTCTTCAATTTCTTCGAGATCCTGCGTGCGTTGTCAGCATGTCTTTCTTCTATACATGGACCCGGATTTAAGGGGTCAAAGTCACGGGAAAGGAGACGACGGAGATAAGGAGGAAGGAGAACATACCCCGACTACATTTCCGAATTTGACAAGCCCTGGCAATTTCTTGCCCTTGGAGCGGCGGCCCCAGAGCTTTCGGGCGGCGTCATCGGTGGCGACATCCAGGGCCCGGAAGGGCAGCTTGTTGGCCTTGAGAATCGTCTCCAAGCGGGAGGTAGCGGTGATGATGTGAGAGGACCCCGCCGTCAGGGAGGTATATAGGTAGAGCGTGGAGTCGGACATGATGTCGACAAAAGTCGGTTCCAGTTCTCAAATGATTGAATTTAATGACGGGAAATCCCAAAGATGATGGGCATAAAACTCTGGAAAGGAGCGGAGAGAGAAATGTCGGTTCGGTTGGTTTCAATGACCTGATCCAATCTCCAAGGACGCTATGACTTGATTGGTCTTTCCTCGGTCTGGTTATGACGTGGCGGGATTTTTTGGCAGTTCTGGTGTCACGTGTGGAGGAATAGGGAGTTGCTTATCGATAAGCACAAGTGGTAGAAGTGGGATCGATAGTGACAGCTAACAGTAGCGAGTGATTCAGTTGTAGCAAGAAGACTTTTGGGATGAAGAGACACAAGCAGACGCCGGCCGATGCAGAATAAATCAATATAAAGCAAGGAAACAAAAAAAAAAAAAACAGGACATATCTTTCTCCACAAGTAGATCACCCATCGAACTTATATGTCTTGATCAGTTTCTTGCCTTCGCAGCGTGGCAACTGACGTCAGGGCCCATCTTCCAAGCCAAATATGATATCGTATGCACCCAGACCCAAGGAACACAACAGAGGAGATCTATTCCCTTGTTCCATCAAACGGAGGCGGTCCGAATCAGGGAATGATGTCATGATATCAATGTTTCTTTGGTGGGACCAGGGTCTAATACCTATCAGCGAACAGGTCGGTCTGGGTGTTGAACAGGGGATCAGCGTGGTCTTGGGCTTGATTGGAAGAGGGTATTCGCTCGGAAGGCGTGTTCCGTGCTGTTCTTGTATGACAGTGTCTGTTTGATTGTTGCTGTTGAGTGGCTGTTACACTAGAATATGTCTCTGATGGGCTGGGAGGACAAGGTCGTTGGGTATTGGGCTTGACGGGTAAAATAGAAAGAAAGGGTCTAAGATGGGCTGTGCTAAAACATGGTCGTGTATTTTTGGCTACGACCCTTTAAATGGTTAGTTGGGTCTCAATACTTATGTCCAACTAAATGCACCTATTCCATATGAACCAAAACCATGCAGTCATGATGGATATATACAATCGACCGAAAAGCACCATATGGACAGAGGTAGGTAAGTAAGCATCCTACCCAACAACCCCAATAACCTCATCCTCAAAATCCACCCCCAACCCCCGGCGGCCTCTCCGCATAAAACGAAGCAAGCACCACCAGCGGCATATCGAACCGAAAAAAGTGCAACTTCTCCAGACAAGACAACTCGAAGCAGAGAAAAAGCCTATGCCGACGCATCGCGTTTGCAATCACCAAGTCGGGCCCCAGCACCCCGGTAGCCAAATCCAGCAGACGGTTGACATCCAGAGGCCGATCCAGCACGAGCGGCTCGTTCAGCCGCCTCATGCCCAGAACGACGGTCCTTTCCGACGTGTACCGCCCCTCCTCGCGGGCAACGCTTGTGATGATCTCCGTGTGCGCCGTGAAAGAGTGAAAGAAGACTGGTGGCGTTGGCTGGTGGTTTTGCTGTGGCTGTTGGTCTGGGGCAAGGCGCAGGAGGAGCTCAATGGGAATGCGAGCGCCCTGGATGACTTGCGTCGCGGCGACAGTTACCTGGAGGAGGAAGCTGGCGCATGTTATGTGCGCTCCTAGACGCATGCGGTCATAGAAAGACACCGGGCGAAAACGGGCTTTTGCATCTACGATGTAGCTGAGTTCCAGGGTGCTACGCAGGGTGACCAGGCGCGACGGGGGGCTCTTCTCGCGACGGCCAGGAGCGAACGGCAGCGAGAGGGTGGATATCTTGGGCCAGCCGTCGCGGACTTGTCGAGGTCGCCATATAGCGCGTAGGAGGTACTCGATGTGGCCGGTTATGACTCCGTCGGGGAACTCGAAGGTGGTCGACGGGGGTAGACGGTATGTGCTCCCCTCCTCCCATTCGTCATCGTCACTCGGGAAGCGCTCTGCGAGCGTGCTCCCAGAGTTGGTCTCCGGGGCTGGGATTGTGACATTAGGGAATGCGAAAATGAAGGGCCATCCGCCTGGTGGCATCTCTGTTGCTGGACGATCTCCAGAGTAGAGAGAGCATTCTGATCGGAAAAGCACGATCTCACCGCAATTGGCGATGCTGAAGCGCGTGTGAGAGATGGTCGACCGACCCGTAAAGGCGATTGTCAGTGATCCCCGAATGGTGTCGATTTCTGGACGACCTAGGATGACTCGTCCCCGGAGTAGATCGCCTGGGTGATACACCTCCCGTGAGGAGTCCAACGCGATGCGCATGCTGGTAATGTTGGTGGCGGGATGCCATTTCTTCTCTCAATGGTGAATAGTATTGATGCTAGCAGCGATCCCCAAATTGCCTGTATAGTTTGTCTGCATAGTTAAGTTATCTTCACAACTACTCAAATGAGTCATTAACATCTCTGACGGCCACTATGGCGGGGAAGCGATAATCACCAGATCCAGCCTCGTACCCCAGACCCGAACTACGGAGTACCTACAATATTCCAGTCTTCAACAACCCCACGACGATGCAACAAAGTCCACCATATCTCATTCCACTTTCCCAACTCCGACAGAGAATAGCTTCACTCAGAAACCATCACCTAAAGATAGATCGCGACAAATACCTCAGCGACTTAACCACCCAAGTACTTACCCTCCTAGGAATGTCCATCTCACCTCCCCCCTTCTAACATGCGCCCGAAAAGGCCCGAGCGCAACATCCATGCATCCGATCAACCTGTCGCAATCATAGCCAGCAGGGCGCAGCGTGACCCCCCTCCCCCCTAGCAGCCTGGCCCGTTTTGCCCAAACGAGGCTCAATTAGTGACCTCTGGGGTGTGGTCGGAGGTAGTGTACTGTGCCTAGTAGGCTTTCAACCCGAGATCATACCCATCTAGGTAGAAACGGGGTAATCGTGTGCCCTGCCGTGGTCACCCCCCCATAGTGATTTATCAGGCTGGTGATGACGAAAGCGCCACTTGGGTATGGCTTTGCCCGTTTCGTGTCCGTTTTTGGATGTCAGCATGAGGATCAGGTTGGTGGGAGAATGATACCTGTCGTATGTAGGTGAAGCCAGAGCAGGAAATAGTGGATCATAACCAAGAGAATGATCTCTCTTTGCGCCACGATGTCTACAGCAAAGTTTGGGAGGCAGAGAAGTGACTGCCTAGATCGGTAGTAGGTAGGCGTTCTTTGATCAACGGGGCGCAACACAGCCACTTGGATTTGGATCGATCTCCTCTCTACCTACCTACTTACCTACTTACCTACTTACTTTCCCTCCTCTCGGCTGTCTATACTCCGTGTATAGACATAGACAGCGGCACGGCATTACTTTTTTTGTATTATTTTATATTATCTTTCTCCTCTTTTGTTCAGCTCAGTGGACATGAAGATGGAGTAATGTCTGGACTTCAATCGACCCGGGCACCGACAGCCTCATTGTTATTTTGCAACCTTGAACAGGGATGATGGATGGAAAAGCAGATCAGGCAGAAAAGCTGGTCACCGGGCTAGATGCCCTATGTTCACAATAGATAAAGGTACACGGATATACTTTCCTTGGTTAGGGGAATATACTATATAGACATGTGTATTAGATGTATATAGTTGGGGGGACAAGGAGCAGCTAAACCTAAATTTGAAAACTCTCCAGTAGGTGCAGTAATTTGTCTGGCACATGTGTAGGTATCCATCCTCTTTCTGGGGAACTTGGGCATGCATGAGCCCTGACTGGTGTGCATGTCTTCGTCATATTCTGGTAGCTCGCCTACCGTGACAAAGGTACCTACCTACCTACTCAACAAAAGACAACTGAGAAAGACACCTAAAATAGACACTAAAAAGGAAAACCAAATGGCAAAGCAACTGGGCAACATTACTCACCCAAACCCAGAACCCAAAAACCATCTCATCAATCGAGTCCGTGAGCAACCCGGAAAGGTGAAAGCCAGACATGCATAACCTGCATAGAATCACAGATGGCAGACACTAGTAGCCTCCAACATTCTTCGCACAAAATGTAGTGGACATGGCACAGCCTATCACCCACCCCCCCTTCTCCCACTTCTTTCCACTGGCGATCACAGCTGTCTAGCGGGTCCCACCCTACCACGCCCCCATCGTCCTATGATTAGCCCAAGGCCTTCCATGTTTCTGGAATAGTGAGATGGAGTGGGGGCCACTGGTTAGCGTACCTTACATTTGCTTACTTGCGAGTTCTTTTCCCCTCGCTTCATCGGATATTGCGGAGTGAATATGGAGTAGATGTTAGTAACTAGTAACTAGTTCCTATCGAGGAAGTGGGCTGCGAGGATAAGGGGTTGATTGATTATCGACTGGCTGGGGATGATGCTATGACGATGTTGGGTAGAGACATGCATCCTATCTAAGGATGCTATTGTGATCACCTCGATCGAGCAAAAGAACGGGTAGGGTACTTTGATCAGGATGGGCTTCCGACCGGGGAAAGAGACGCTTCGCTGGTCGTTGCTCTTGACATATCCCGCGGTCAACGCTATAGCGGAAGTAAATCCAGCTTCTGGCGACAAAGCGCTTCGCTCTCCCCCCGCGCTCGTGCCATCGTAGAGAGACCACAGCGGAGTTAGTTTTACGCCCCTATCTTCATCAGAAGAATAGAAGTTGTTTCCGAGACACCACGAACGGCTCATTCTGTCTACCAGTCCGGGTAACAGTAGCATAAGAATGGGCTGTTTCACCTTCGCATTAGTGAGCTTAAAGGGTGGTTCACGCGGCCCTCTTTTTTCCCCCCGCGAGTGCCAATCACAGGGAGGTAGGCCTACTAGGCTCTAGAGGCGCCAAAAAGCGGTGTCGCTGAGTAGGTGGGATTGGGCTGGAGGGGCGGCTTGGTGGATGAAACAACTGTGTCTGTCCATACATAGGTACATCATAGATTCTGCACTATACCGACAAAAGAGTCTGAGTCGATTCTGGCCGCTGCAAGATCAAACCACTGCCCGTATGAAACAATGAAACGATCCTCCTTCGTACTTTGCGATGACTCGGTCGTCTTCCATCGTATCCACCGTGTTTACCGGGAGATAGATGATTAGGTCATTGATGCTTAAACCTATCCTGACCGCCATGCCATGCCATGCCACGACTAGCCATCCTCTCGCCTCGCCGTTAGTCCGTCCGTCCGTCCTCGAACAACGTGTACGATTGTTATATAAGCCAATACTCACAGTCCGTAGCATAACGGGATAACACGTGACAATAAACGGGCCAGTGCCGATTGTGGCCCAATAAAAGCAGGGAATGTAGACTACTAGTCCCAACTTGATTCGACTCTCACGGGTCACCCGAGACTCACCCACCGTTCACAGAGGCGGCTACTCCGAGGGTCGCTCTAACTTGCTGGAGTAGGAGTAGTCCATTTCTCTCTGGCTCGGCGAGTCAAGAGGATAGTGTTGGATCGTCTGACTGCGACTACGACCGGGCAAGCACTCTCCCCAAAGACGGGATAACGGATAACGGATAAAATGACGCTGCGGGAATAATGATGTCAATGTCAATATTACTATGGAGGTCTTTAATGGACTGTATGAGTTATTTTATCGATTTATTTTATTTTGATGATGATTGTTATTATTAGTTTCTAAGAGTTGCCCGGAAAGCCCGAGGAACTTGGCATACCATCCATTGTACCTTCGTAGTAGATAGTGTACAAGTGTACAGTACTGAATATCCATGGTCGGAACTGAGCCAGCCACGCGCGGGCACCCCCGAACCATGGGAAACACCCGCGTGGTACGGTGGGCTCGTCCCGAGGCCTTGTTCTAATTGCACTGTACGTACTCTAGAGGTACTGTAGGTACCTCCCATGTACCTCCAGTGAACAGCGAAGAAATGATAGACAGCCAAAGCCAACTAAATCAGGTAGAGATATCTAGAGTTTACTTTTGTTGAAGTTTACAAAACAGGGTCATAGCATTGCTACCCAATGGTTTTTACTGAACCTTCTATCACGGGCTGAGGACTGAGGAAGGGAAATATGATTAATT